GCTAGAGGCCAAGGTAATGCCATCTAGAGTAGCTATATCTTTAGACAGTGAGTCTCTAAGGTCTTTGGGGCCAAGTAGAAGAATTTTGTTTTTTTCTGAGTTTAACAACATAATGTTGCCTAACGGGAGCATATATAAAGTAAATAGTATTGGTCCAAGTACAGAACCTTGTGGAACTCCATGACTAACTGTAGTATTTATGGAAGATTCATCGTTAACATACAAACTGACAACGATCTGATAAGTATGACTTAAACCATCTTAGTGCGATTCCTTTAATGCCAATTTGATGCTCAAGTCTCTGTAAAAGAACATTATGGTCAATGGTGTCAAATGCAGCACTAAGATCTAATAATACAAGTACAGAGACGAGTCCATTGTCGGAAGCAATCAAAAGGTCATTATTAACTTTAACCAGAGCTGTCTCTGTGCTGTGATGAACTCTAAATCCTGACTGAAAATCCTCAAATAAGCTATTGTTATGTAGAAAGATACAGGATCTTTAGATACAGGCTGTGGTGCAGAGGCAGAGTGGGTTGTCACCTAATCAGAAGGTTGTTGGTTCGATCCCCGGCTCCTCCTGCCACACATCGAGGTGTTGTTGAGCAAGTTACTGAACTCCAAATTGCTCTTGATGCTGTGCAATGGTGTGTGTATGAATGATTTAGTTTCTATTCAATGGGGGCTTTGTGAAAGGGCAAATGTGGCATGTAGTGTAAAAGTGGTTGGAAGACTAGAAAGGCGCTATACAAGTACAGGTCAATTTTAAATGTAGCTGGCAAAGATACAGCCCCTATCTATCTGTCTGTCTATCTATCTATCTATGTTTCACAGTTTTAACATCCTGTAAATTTCCCATGGCCCTATCTGTGTTGCCACTTTCTCAGCAGAGTGACAGCTGGTTAATTTCTCTTGACCTCCCTCACCACCTCTGACACCACATAGCATTCATTAACTTCATGCAGCCAGGCCTTCTTTAGGCTCAATAATTAATTTTCTGATCAGCTTAATTGCATTGCCATACTACTGATACACTTAGACAGCACACACTATGTGATGATGAAAGTTTATTCTTGACCCTGTAAATCTGATTTTAAAAATCTAATCTCAAGGTCCTCTTATAAGCTTTTTCTGGGGCTCGAATTGGCTCAGTTGTCATCATGTGAGGGAGCCCCACTGAGATACTTCTGATGATGAGTCTGTCTTAGTCTTAAAGTTAGAGTTAGGAGTTAGTTAGAGTTCAAATCAAGATATAGGTCTGTGTGAGTGGGCCAATCAGCATGAACACAGGTGTCAAGGAAACCGCTTACGTCTTTTCTTCTTCACATGCGAACAGCTGCATTCAGACCACCTGCACACCCTTTAGCAAAGTGACTGGAGAGAGGAACTATTAATTATTGGGGCTGTGGCGCAGAGGGAGAGCGGGTCCACCCCTATTCGTAAGGTTTTTGGTTCGATCCCCAGCTCCTCCCGCCACATGTCGAAGTATCCTTGAGTAAGATACTGAACTCTGAATTGCTCCCAATGTTGTGCATCGGTATGTGACTGTGTATGAATTAGTTAGTTTCTGTTCGATGGGCTTTGCCATCACTGAGTGAATGTGTGTGAAAGGTGGAATGTGGCATTTAGTGTAAAAGCGCTTTGAGTGGTCGGAAGATTAGAAAGGCGTTATACAAGTACAGGTCCATTTATCATTTACCATTTACCCTAAACCTTAATTGACCTCCATATGTAAAACTAAAATAACAACAGCATTAAAAAAAGAAACTATACAGGAGCATTTGGAGAGCCTGGATGAATGGAGAAGTAAGGCCTTTGTCCAGGGCCAAAAAAAAGCTGCTTTTTTTGGTCGGGTGACTTGGAGAGAGACCAGCAGAGACTAGAGAGAGACCTCAACTGCAACACCAAAGATATATGACAGGCGATCCAAAACATCAAAGAGCAGGAGTGCCCCCATCATGTGAGAGGCCACGCTACCAGATGAGCTAAACGCATTCTATGCTCACTTTGATATCCTCAACTAAGAGTCAGTGGTAAAGTGGACACTGCCTCCAGAGGATTGACCGTATCCACAGCGTATCCCTGGCCATGTACTAAAAACATGAGCCAATCAGCTAGTTTTTTGCCGCTGTCAAACCATCTAAAAGTGTTTGTTTCTGATAAATTGAGGCTTAAATCATTCAGTAGGTGAAGCTTAGGACAATATAGCACTTTAATATTAAGTAAGGTGAATAATATTATATTAGTATATCCTGGATATTAGGCTTCTAGTACGACCTCCCAAATCTAGTAGAGAATAGAGTGAATGAGTTGATAAAGCTACATGTGGGGCGGTTGATTGAGCAAGATACTGAACCCCAAATTGCTCCCGATGCTATGCATCAGTGTGTGTGTGTATGAATGCGTTAGTTTCCGTTCGATGGACTTTGCCATCACTGAGTGAATGTGTGTGAAAGGGTGAACGTGGCATGTAGTGTAAAAGCGCTTTGAGTTGTCGGAAGACTAGAAAGGCGCTATACAAGTACAGGTCCATTTACCATTTACCATTTACATCCCACGGTGTTGTGATAAATCAGAACCATCCCTAGAGATGTCAAAGTATTTTTTTCTTTTTAACAATGTCATGTTCACCGTTGTAGAGTTGACAATAAGGACACAGGGAGCAGCTGAACTCAGCCCTCAGCCCAGAGTGGCTTTCCTAGTTGTAATTATACAGACTGTACCATAGTATCATGCAGCCAGGGGTGGATGAAGGTATAAAAGGAGGAGGGGGATGGGACAACAGAAATAGGACATACAAGCAAATGAGTAAACCAGGCAGGGAAGGGAGGGAGGGAATGGAGTGAGTAAGGGAAGGCAGGGGGGAAATGGGAAGAGGATAGAGAAAGCAGAAGGAGGCATTAGAGTAGGACAGGTTCTGATGTAAGTATGTATGTATCAACGTACAGTCACAAATAGTACAACTTTTAATCAACAACATATGTTGACTGTACTGACTAATTTTGAAGTAGATTTGATAAGTCCCCTATTTATCTCGCAATTTAATACTTGACTTCCAGCGGTTTCCTACAATACTCCAGGAACAATACTCCATAGGAAATATGGTTTGTAGATGTGGCTAGTGGGCTTGGAAGGTGTTTGTGTTTCATCACTTTGAAAAAAAGAAATGTATATTTCTTTATTTGTGATTAAAATTCAATACAAATGTCTGAGAGAAAAAGATAAGTCCCCTATGAATTTGTTCAAATACAAGGCAAAAATTCACAGAAAATGACCAAAGAATTCAAAATGGCCAAATTTGACGGCACGCCATGGACACCCCCATTCAATGTACAGTCGCAAATTACGCAACGTTCAGTCAGCAAAATCTTTTGACTGTACTGACCAAATTTGAAGTCGAGCTGATAAAACCTGTAGGAGTAGTTAGTTAAAATAGAAGCCCTGAAATGCCGGAAATGGCATCACGGTTTGACATTCGATTCAAAATGGACAAATTTGACAGTACGCCATGGACACACCCTTCAACATACAGTCACAAATAGCACAACTTCTAATCAGCAACATTTTTCAAGTGTACTGTCCAGTTTTGAAGCAGATCTGATAAATTCGCTAGGTGTTCGTTTGTTCAAATACAAGACCACGGAATTCAAAATGGCCAACTTTGACAACACACCACGGACGATTCAACAAACGATGGCCTAAAATTGTGCACGATGCATAATGAAGACATGAGGAACTATTGACCCAAGGTTGGTGTCAATCGGACATACCAATGTGGAGAAATGCCCCACTTGCACAGACAGACGACCACCCACCTAGAGCCGAAGGAACTGTCCTAGGTTTCTGCCTTTTAACAGGCAGTTTTTCCTTGCCCTTGTCGCCAAGTGCTTGCTCATGGTGGTACTGTTGGGTCTCTGTAAATAATGTTTTAAAGAGTTCGGTCTAGACCTACTCTATTTGAAAAGTGTCCTGAGATAACTTCTGTTATGAATTGGCGCTATACAAAGAAAATTGAATTGAATTGAATTGAACTTCCTGGCGTGGCCTATATAGGGAGATGCAGCTCCATTCACCGAACGCATGGATATAAGGTTTTTGAATGTGAGACAAACGATGCGGGAGTTATTAGCCTAAACCTACTTTTCTTAATAGTAGCGCCACCTAGTGGCCGAGCCGAATGTTACGCATAGAATATCCAATTTTTCACCAGGCCTGACCACTTTGCCAAATAAAATTCATCTAATGTATATGTTCAGGGGCTCAAAAATGCAGTGAAAGGGGCTAAGCGTAATAAGAAACATAGCAAAAACAATAGAGACCTCACAGTGTTTGACACTGGCTCGGTCCCTAACAATAAAACATGCACTATAACATTATGAACACCTGGTCACCCTGGTGGTCATAATGTTATGCAGCCCCATACCAACAAACTGTGATGCACTGTGTGTTCTGATACCTTTCTATCAGAACCAGCATTTACTTTTTCAGCAATTTGAGCTACAGTATTGAGTATACAGTCTATTGGATTGGACCCCACGGGCCAGCCTTCTCTTCCCACATGCATCAATGAGCCTTAGCCACCCATGACCCTGTCTCCGGTTCATCACTTTTCCTTCCCTGAACCACTTTTGATAGGTACTGACCACTGCAGACTGGGAACACCCCACAAGAGCTGCAGTTTTGGAGATGGTCTGTCCTCTGTCGTCCTGCTTCTATGCAGTATAAATGCATCTACTTGGATATTTACTACATACTGGATTCCTTGAACAGAATTGGAATTTCATAAATTGGTTATGACTGGAAAGCTGAGACTCTTGTAGATTCAGTGAATCCAATTGTATTCATGAGTGATGATGTTCATTACCATAGTAGCCATTTCATTGTAGTGAGACATTGTTTGAAACTTGACTGTTTAAACTGACCTGTTGTGACCTTGAGGATATTCACAGCCTAACCTTCTTGCTAGCTATACCAACGGTTACTTGTGTCTCCACCAACAGGGACAGCAATGGGACCAGACTTACTGCCCAGAAACCCTGGATCCAAGCGATGAGACCACAGACACAGAGGTTAATGAGGAAGAGGACCTGGGAGTTCTGGATGACCAGCGAAGCATCATCATTCACCTCCTGTCCCAACTCAAACTGGGCATGGACCTCACACGGGTTAGACTCTAATCACATTACATCACATTACATTACTAGTCAAACAATGATGTTGTTACTTGTGTTACTTATGATCTTCAATCATCTGCAGGAGTTCGGTCTACACCTGCTCTATTTGGAAGGTGTCCTGAGATAACTTCTGTTACGAATTGGTGCTATACAAATAAAATTGAATTGAATTGAATTGAATTGCATAATAAGCAGATAAAAGAAATCAAACATGCCTTTTCAGGTAAGTTTGCGCAGTAATCAGAAGATACAGCTTCCTTCACTCTGACACTGAAATCAGTCCCTTCAGGAAGTTGCAAATTCAACCAATCTCTGTCAATTCTGCACAACATGGCTTACACATCGGTGTATGAATGAGTTAGTTCTGTTTCGATGAGCTTTGCCATTGCTGAGTGAATGTGTGTGAAAGGGCGAATGTGGCATGTAGTGTAAATGCATTTTGAGTGGTCGGAAGACTAGAAAGATGCACAAGTACAGGTCCATTTACCATACATTTCTACAGGCGATATATAGTATTCCTATAATCTCTCTACACTGATTTAGTACTTTATGTCTTAGATGGTTTAGATGATCGTGTTTTAAATAATACCATTATGTTTTTGTAATCAGCATTGTTACCTGTGATTTTATGTCATTTATCTTTTTTAAAGTTATCAGACTTTATCACATGATCTGTTACTCAGCAGTGAGTTTATGGTACTCTTATCAGCCAGAGTATCAGTTTAATGTTGTAGGCACTGTGTATCTGTGTGTTATGTCTAGAATTAAGGTTGAAAGTACATGTATTCATAACTGGTAAAACTAGAGGCCAGAGTCTACATTCGGGCCAGAATGGTAAATAATACACAGGGAGTATGTGTGTCTTTGTCTTCCTCCACTCCTCCCCCCTGTGGGTTTAGTAAGCAGTCGAATGTCTCCTGCTCCTGGCTCCCTGTGAAATTAAGAATAGAATTTAAAATCCTCCTCCTCACCTACAAAGCTGTTCATGGTCAGGCCCCTTCATATCTTAAAGAGCTCATAGTACCCTATTACCCCACTAGAACACTGTGTTCTCTGAATGCAGGGCTACTTGTGGTTCCAGTAGTCTCAAAAAGTAGAACAGGAGCCAGAGCCTTCAGTTACCAAGCTCCTCTCCTGTGGAACCAGCTTCCAGTTGTGGTCCGGGAGGCAGACACCATCTCCACATTTAAGAGTAGGCTTAACACGTTCCTCTTTGATAAAGCTTATAGTTAGGGCTGGATCAGGTGAGTCCTGAACCATCCCTTAGTTATGCTGCTATAGGCCTAGACTATCGGGGGATTTCCCATGATGCACTGAGCTCCTCTCTTCCACTCTCTCTCTTTCTGCACTCATTCATGTCCCATTAATGCATGTTACTAACTTTACATCTTCCCCCAGAGTTCTTGTGCTTTCTTGTCTCGCAGGTTCTCATGGATCCTGGTGGAGCCTCCTGCCATGGTCCTGCTTGACTGCCATTGCTAATATCACTGATATTATTATTATTATTAATATTATTATTACTACAGTTACTATTATTACTATTGTCACTACTCATTTTCCCCCATCGTTGCTGTTATCGTTGTCATCGTCTTCTTCATGTTCATCATCATCACTCACTACTATTGGTGTAGTTGTTACTACTGTTGTTGCTGTGCACTGTTCAGTCTGTCTGTCTGTCTCTGTCTCTCTCTCTCTCACCCCAACTGGTCGAGGCAGACGACCACCCACCTAGAGCCGAAGGGTCTGTCCTAGGTTTCTGCCTCTTAACAGGCAGTTTTTCCTTGCCCCGGTAGCCAAGTGCTTGCTCATGGTGGTACTGTTGGGTCTCTGTAAATGTTATAAGGAGTTTGGTCTGGACCTGCTCCATTTGAAAAGTGTCCTGAGATTACTTCTGTTATGAATTGGCGCTATACAAATAAAATTGAATTGAATTAAAAAAAAACCAAGAAAACCATGCAATAACCCTCATTAAAATCAGTTCAGTCTGAAAACAGCAGTGTTTGCATATGATTTAATCTACCCTGACTGGACCTGTAATGTAGTGGACATTTGTTTAGTGAACACCTCTGCTCTAAGAGATAAGAATAGATGAACTAAGAAAGGATTGGGACCCTGATTGTTAAATTCTCACGTTTGAATGCAATCAGGATGGATGTGATCTCCACTGCAAATGAGTATTCCGTTTTCATGTTGCACCATACACAGATACATATTTCTTTGTGGTATATCCGAAACAGTTGTAAGACATATCTTGCAAGGATCTGGTAGGAATAATTCTGCCTGATATTTAAAGGAGATGTAATTACTTAAGATTCCAGCAAGAAAGTGCTGACTTTTTTCGAAAATTCAGTCTTCACAGTGATTATAGATTATACAGACATACCTCCTTTTGTTGTCTTCCGCTAGGTGGTGCTCCCAACCTTCATCCTGGAGAAGCGCTCGTTGCTAGAGATGTATGCCAACTTCATGGCTCATCCCGACATGTTCTTATCCATCACGTCTGGCTGCACGGCGGAGGAGCGCATTGTTCGCTTTGTCGAGTACTACCTGACTGCCTTCCATGAGGGCCGGAAGGGAGCTGTGGCCAAAAAGCCCTACAACCCCATACTGGGCGAGAACCTCCACTGTTCCTGGTATGTGCCTCGGGGTCATGTTCGATCTCTCAGGACTACCAACTGTACTGGTGCTAACTCAACACCCGCAGCCACTACCATTCCTGGGTCCCCGCAGAGGGGGACAGACAGTAGCAGCAGAAGAAACTCAGACTGCTATCGTGTTAGGTTCGTGGCAGAGCAGGTGTCCCACCACCCTCCTGTATCTGGCTTCTACTGCGAGTGCAAGGAGAAGAGGATGTGTGTCAACACTCACATCTGGACCAAAAGCAAGTTCATGGGCATGTCTGTTGGCGTCTCCATGGTCGGGGAAGGTAGGAGTTATCTTTGTGTTCATTTTGGATCTGAATTATTGAAATGTGTATCAAACAGTACATAAACATAGGCAAATGTGTTTTCTTTCAAGTTTGCTTTAGACAAAAGAAAAGCATTTCAACCTCTGTTTAAAGTTTATCAATCTACCATTCATGTTAGGTGGCTGGCAAGCTAACTAAAGTTATTACACTGGCCACTGTTTAAAGTAGTGTGACTGCACAGTGAGGAGCCGCTTGTCAGATGATGTCTGGGGATGAATGACATTGCACTACAAGCAGTAGTGCAAGCCACTAGTAAAATCCTGGTGCTGTTCTAGAAGTTTTTGAATGGGATTAATTACTTTTTTAGGAGCAGTTGGCTAACTACAGCACTGACAACTTTATTTAACATATGCAGAAACACATACACGTATGCATAAAACCAAATGGATGGTAAATGGATTTGTATTTATACAGCACTTTTCTGGTCTACCAACCACTCAAAGCACTCTACAACACACATTCTCCCGTTCATACACTGATAGCAGAGGCTGCCATGCAAGGTGCCAACCTGCTCATCAGGAGCGACACAGGGCTTTCTATTGCACAGCCACTAGGAGCAATTTGGGGCTCAGCATCTTGCCCAAGGCGCTTTGACTGGACTGGGCAGGGGAAGCTGGGAATAGAACCAGGAACCTTACGAATACAGGACAATCCGCACTACCACCTGAGCGACAGCAATGAATGAATATATGCACACAAGGGTAGGGGTGGGCGATATGGGCAAAAAATAATATCTCAATATTTTTTGGGATTTTGGCGATAACGATAATCAGTCGATATCCTTTAAAATGTGATTAGAATTGTCTGAGCTGTACTTGTGTCCACCAAACGCGTTTACAGTGCTGAGAGAGCTCAAAAACTCATTTTCCGAGCGCCCAGCGGTGTTAAAAGTTGAACAGATTTCAACTTGAAGCACTCTGAGCGCTGCGCAAAAAAAAAACCGTCTCCGCTGACATCTTTTTACCGCTGAAGGCGCTTAGCGCTCTGAACGCTGAAGCCCATAGGACCCACGTCTCGGCACTAACTCATCTGACATACCGGTAGCTTCAGGGACTGGAGGTGCTTGCATTTTCTCTCTACCATCGCAACGCGCTGCTAAACTGTTGCAAGGAGGATGCTAGCGAGAGGTCACGTGATCACGTCATGTGATCACGTAGGCCCACTAGTCGTGTGACTGAATCCTGCCATGCTGTAGAGAGCGCTGCTGCACCGTGTATTAATGGATGTGAGGAGTTTCCGCGGGCGTTTCATTGTTTTTGTCGAAGTAATTTAAATACTCGATAATGGAAATTTGCACATCGTCAAAACAACAATGACGATATTATCGCAAACGATATATATCGCCCACCTCTACACAAGGGAAAACATATGGAAAGCATGCACACACACACACACACACACACACACACACACACACACACACACACTCAATATAGGAAATGAATGACTGTGCACAATTCAACAAATAGGTTGGTGTCAACAAATATGTGTTTTCTGCTTGTAAGTTTTTTCCGATGAGGAACAGAACAATGTGTGTGTCTAGGGGACACAGATGTGAATGTGTTAGACCTGGGCCTATGGCTAAAGACCGAGAACAGTATAGCTGTCTGTTATATAAGCAACAGAATGAGAAAAGGGAACAGGGCTGGAAGGGAGCTCAGGAGGGACAGGAAGCAGGCAAATTCAGAGCCAAAGTGGCAATCTAAATCTAAATCACAGTGTAACTGCATAGTTCCAGCTGACATTTTTGTTCACCTTCTCAGAATGTACACTGGAGACCGGAACTCAGGAGGATGAATCCTACTGACAGGCGGGATTACCAGAGTCAGTAGGATTCATCCATGAAATATCTACAGTGGATGTTGAGTTATTTTAATTAGAACCGGAATGTGGGCCAACTGACCGATTACAGGCAAACCAGCTTACCAACCAACACACCAACAAAACATTACTTATCAAATAAAGAGACATCTTCTCCAAGAAGTCAAGTTTTGTCTAGAAGATGGTTTTACAGCTAGAAATAGAAATCATGTCTATGCACATGATTGAGCTGTGGTAATCTGATGTTTCCCTTCTTAAAGCTGCAGTAGGTAACTTTAATTAAAAATTGCATTTAGTCATATTTGCGTTTTTGCAAGAATTAATTGCAAATTGTCAGATACCAACCCTGGGAATAAGACTTAAGAATCAATTATTTTTCTCAGCTCTAGTTGTTTTTGTTCAGGCATAGTGGATTCATGCAAATACAATTAAGAACACTAGGAAAAGCCAGAGGACCTTACTTACTTTTAGTTACCTACTGCAGCTTTAACTGGCTGTGAGTTAGAAGAAACCAGACTGATGTGTGCAGAAGCGCATGGGGTTATTTTATAGCGATACCTCATTTAAATGAACTGTCATTGTTTCTGCAGCAATAAGCATGCAGATGGACCTAGTGGTGGAAATAACTAAGTACATTTACTCAATAGGTTAATGTTTTTACTTACACTACTTACCCTACTTCTGCTTCACTCTAATTCAGGGGAATGTTGTATATTTGACCTAGCCTATTTTTTCCTATGCACATTGTTGTCTTATCACCACAATAGTTCTAAAATAAATATCCAGAAGTGATTCCTCATACTGTCTCTCCTTTAAATCTGTTCTCTGTTTCTCCCAGGTGTTCTATATTTGTTGGAGCACGATGAGGAGTATGTGTTCACACTGCCTTGTGCCTATGCACGTTCCATCCTGACTGTGCCATGGGTGGAACTTGGGGGAAAGGTCACCATCAACTGTGCCAAGAGTGGGTACTCTGCCACTGTCACTTTCCACACCAAACCCTTCTATGGAGGAAAAGTACACAGGTTGGCAGAGAGAGCCAGTGTCTCTATTTTCAAAAAACAATTAAATTAAATGTTATTTGTATAGCATCAATTCATGACAAAAGTTATCTCAGGACACTTTTCAAACAGAGTAGGTCTAGACCAGAGCTTGGCATTTTATGCCCCGCGGGCCACATCCGGCCCTTTGGGCATCCCTGTCTGCCCGCGTGAGGTCAATCGTAAATTAAAACATAAATGAAAAAGTAATTATGCTGCGCACGCAACACAACTGTGTTGCTTTAATTTTGAAAAGCATGCCTTTTTTATACATTTTTGTAAGGATGTATGTAATAAGCATGTGTTGATAAACAGCTACAAGTGATGCTGGCCAGCTAGCCCTCAAAATGTTTGAAAAGTTGATACCGAATGCTGCATTTTCAACAAGACATGGACTGCTAAATATTTATTTACAGAAGTCAAAGGTAAAGCCGTGTGCTTACTTTGTGGTACACAGGTCGCTGTGTTTAAGGATTACAATTTGAATCGCCACTACGTGACCAAACACGAGGAGAAATACAAGAACTTGTCTGATCAAGAGCGTGCAAGGGAGTCGGATGCTTTGCTAGCTTAGCTGCAAAATCAAAAAGGACTTTAAACTTTGCACATCCAGAGATCGGCTATCAAGACAAGCTATGTTATATACAAATATACAAATAAATTGAATTATATTCCACAAAATCGCTAAAGTAAGCGATTTTGTAAGTAAGTAAGTAGAAAAAGTAAAGAGTTTATTAAGGAGTGTTTGTTGGACTCTGCAGCACTAATATGCCAGGAGAAAAAAAGAGCATTTGAGAACTCGCCCTTCTCCCGACTTCCTGTAACAAGGAGGGTTGAGGACATTGCAGGAAATCTGGAGCTTCAGCTGAAGAATAGAGCGGTCAACTTTCAACGACTATTTTTCCCTGGCTTTGGATGAGAGCTGCGATGTACGTGACACTGCCCAGCTACTCATCTTCTTACGTGGGATAACTAGTCTTTAAAATCACGGAGGAGCTGGCAGCCATGCAGTCAATGAAAGGGACAACAACTGGGAGTTATTTGTTCACGGAGGTAAATGCATGTTTGGACAAGTTGGGACTGAAATGGGACAAGCTGGCAGGTATGACAACGGATGGTTGTCCAAATCTGACAAGGAAAAATGTTGGACTTTTGAAGAGAATGCAGGACAAAGTGACAGAAATGAGCCCTGAGCAGAAATTGGAAGTGTTGTGTATGTCAGTGTAAAAAATAATTCACTTCATCAGGGCAAGAGCATATCAAGGGGCTCAGACTGGGCAAAGTGCTGAAAAGTGTCTGGGACCTGAGGAAATTATATCCCCCAGCTTTCAGATGCAGACTGGATGGCAGACCTTGGTTTTGCTTTAGATGTGACTAATGAATGAACTAAATGTCAAACTGCAATGCAAGGGCCTTTTTGTTCATGAAATGTACAGCGCAGTGAAGGCTTTCATGAGAAAGTTGCAGCTTCTCTAGAGGCAAATAGAGGACAACATTCTCACCCACTTGCCAACACTGAAGGAAGCCACACCATCAGCTGATCACCTCCGCAGGTACTCATCCTTGTTAGAATCACTGCATAGTGAGTCTTCAAGGCGATTTTAAGACTTTAAAACAGTTGAGAGTGAAATGCACATGGTTTCTTCTCCCTTCACCTGCAGCCTGGATAATGCACCCAGTGATGTTCAGATGTCTGGCAGAACACTTTAGGTCAGTCTCACTGCTTGAGTTTTACTCTTTCCTCAAAACTTTCCACACATGAGGAGCCATGCTCAGAAGATTCTAGTCCTCTTTGGATCTACCTATGTATGTGAACAGACATTCTCAGTGATGAAGTTCAACAAGTCCAGATACAGATCCTCCATCACTGATGATCACCTCTCAGCTGTCCTTCGCAATATCCACCTCAGACATTCAGCCAGATTTCAATGCACTTGTTCAAGCCCAAGACAGATTGGATTTTTCCCACTGAACAAGTAAAATGAACTGAAAAACATTAAAAGCACTTTGACCAATTGCTAATCTTTAACATGCAAAACACCTTTTCAGTATTTGTGAAGATTAACATGTTAAAAATAGAATAAAACACTGATAGAATTATTGTTTTTGTTTTTACTGTTCATTACTTCTGTAGGAGTATTTTCCTATTTGGCCTACACCACAATTTCATATATTTATATAAATACAGAATTACAGAATATCCTTATTCTTCTGATTACCAGTAGCGGCTAATCAAAATTTAAGAGAGAAGGACAGAGACAGAGACAAAGGTGCACAGCAACAGTAGCAACAACTAAGTAGAAATGACTGATGATGAAGATGAAGATGATCACGACGACGGCATCAATAGCCACAACAATGGGGGATGAATAATAGTAATACTAATAATAACTACTACTACTCGGCAACACAGGTGCCTCTCAGGGTACGGTGCTCTCTCCCTTCCTTTTCACCCTTTACACCTCAGACTTTACCAACAACTCCACACACTGCCGCATCAAGAAGTTCTCAGATAACACAACCATGTTGGATGCGTGTCTGAGGGGAATGAACTGGAATACAGGACTGTCATCAGGGACTTTGTCAGCTGGTGTGAGCTCAACCAACTTCAGCTAAACACTATCGAGACGAAGGAGATGATTGTTAACTTCAGGTGGAAAACATCCAGGGATTGGACATTGAGGTGGTAGAAACTGACAAATTCCTGGGTGTTCACCTCAATAACAAACTGGACTGCACTGACAACACCCATGCTCTCTACAAGAAGGGCCAGATTCGCCTCCACCTGCTGAGGAGACTGAGGTCCTTCGGAGTAAGCAGGGCTCTCCTCAAGACTTTTTATGACTCTGTGGTGGCTTCAGCCATCTTCTATGCTGTGGTCTGCTGGAGAGGGGGCAGAACGGACAGGGACAAGAAGAGACTCAATAAACTGATCAGGAGAGTTTACCAGTTTTTTTTATATCTGTATTTATTTATTTCACGTAAAATGCTGCTGTGACAAGGGAAGTTCCCCGTTGTGGGATTAATAAAGTAATACAATACAATACTAATAATAATAATAACAATGATACCAGCAATATTAGCAGTGGATCAAGCAGGACCATGGCAGCAGGCACCACCAGGATCCATGAGAACCTGCGAGTCGAGAAAGCACAAGAAGGAAGAGGAAGAAGTGAATTTAGTAACATGCATTAATGGGACATGAATATGTGCAGAAAGCGAGGAGCTCAGTGCATCATAGGAAGTCCCCTAGCAGTCTAGGCCTATAGCAGCATAACTAAGGGATGGTTCAGGACTCACCTGAGCCAGCTCTAACTATAAGCTTTATCAAAGAGGAACGTCTTAAGCCAACTCTTAAATGTGGAGAGGGTGTCTGCCTCCCGAACCCAAATTGGTGTGTGGTGTCCCTCAGGGGTCGGTTCTTGGTCCCGTTCTGTTCTCCCTGTACATGCTTCCTCTTGGTCATTTTTTCAGCCGCTTCCGTGACATGTCATACTACTGTTATGCGGATGATACACAGATCTACTTTTCTGCGAAACCCAATAACCTGAATCAACTATCCTCTCTCCATGAGTGCTTAGCTGCCACCAAAGACTGGATATCTCTTAATTTTCTCCACTTAAATCCTGATGAAACTGAAATCATTTTATTTGGCCCTGATAACTTTGTCACTGCAGTTGATCAGTTTATTGGACCACTACGCACTAATATCAAACCCACTGCTAAGAATCTGGGAATCATCTTCGACCAGCATATGACATTTGACCTTCATGTAACAAAACTTGTCTAGTCCTGTTTCCTGCAAATACGAAATGTAGCAAAAATCAAAAGTTTCCTGTCCTCCAGTGAGCTGGAACAATTAATTCACAGCTTCATTTTCTCCCGTCTAGATTACTGTAACTCCCTCTACACGTGCCTCAGTCAGGCTTCGTTAAACCGATTACAGTTAGTCCAAAATGCAGCTGCCAGACTTTTAACCAGAACCAGCCGTCAGTCCCACATTAATCCTGTTCTTGCATCCCTTCATTGGCTTCCTGTAAAATTTAGAATCAATTATAAGATCTTAATGATTACATATAAGGCACTTCATGACCTTGCCCCCAGTTACATTTCAGATCTCCTTGTTCCTCATTCCACTCCTCGGCCACTCCGCTCCTCAAATCTCACCCTTGTATCCGTTCCACGCTCTACCTGTAAAACTAAAGGTGACCGTGCCTTTGCTGTTTTAGCCCCAACATTGTGGAATAGTCTTCCCCATTCACTTAGATTCACTGAATCTGTGAGCAGTTTTAAGCGGCTGCTCAAAACCCAACTCTACAGGCAAGCATTTTTATAGATCTCCTTGTTTGTTTTCTCATCTTTCATGTCTCTTTTAATTTATCCTTCCCTCTTGTTTTATCTTCCTTTGTTTGTTTTTACATGCTCTCTATGTCTGTGTTTTTGTGTGTTGTTATGTTTATTTATTTGTTGTTTGGAAAGCACTTTGGATCTCTGTGTCAAAAAAGTGTTATATAAATAAAGTTTTACTTACTTACATGTGACTTTTGCTACACTTTTGCTGTGGCAGATCTGCAAATGTGTGTGGAGATCTGTGTTTCTGAGGAGAGATATTTCTGTGTGAGGAGAGATTTGTCTGTGTGCATCAGTAGCTATACAGCCTAACAGACCCCCAGTCGGCGGTAGCGTAAAAATGCTGCGCTGTCTTCGTTGTTTAACCTACTTTAAATGAAACCAGGAATAATAATAAATAAAATTGTTTTGCTACAATAATAACTCCATACTCTTTCCCTAGTTCCTGTCAGTATTCGTGCCGCAGCATTCTGAATTAGTTGAAGCGTCTTAATGGACTTATTGGGGCAGCCTGATAATAAGATGTTGCAGTAAACCAGCCAAGAAGTAACAAATGCATGGACTAGTTTTTCTGCATTTGTCTGTGACAGAATGTGTCGCAATGTTACATAAGTCAAAAAAGGTAGTCCTAGAGGTCTGCTTTATGTGGGAGTTAAATTACATATCCTGTTCAAAGATAACTCCAAGATTCCTGATGGTGGGGAGTTTAATATCAGAAAATTGTAATCATCATTGTAGTCCTCAAGGCATGCTTGTAATTTAGCTAATTGATTAATTTAATCAGGCTTGATCGATTGATATAACTGGGTATCATCTCTCTCATTTCTTGTTTCACTGCCCAAAAATGATGTGCATTTGACGAATAATGCAATTCTAAGAGAATAATTTGATTTATCTTCTTTGCTAGAAGTTCTGAACCAACAGAGGGCTTATAGTGACAAAACACCTTCCAGTGTTTTTTTGCAATAGTGTAGTTTAGTTTAGTTTAGTTTAGCTATTACACAGATGTCCGAAGATATACTATATGGGATTGTTTGGCGGCTGTGGCTCACTCTTACAATTACATAAAGGTGGAATGCGGTATGCACCTAGTTGGCTTTGTGTGGCAATCATCAATGCTATGTTGATTTCTTACAGAGTAACAGCAGAGGTGAAACACAACCAATCAGGAAACATTGTGTGTAAGGCCCAGGGGGAGTGGAACGGGATGCTGGAGTTCACCTACAGCAACGGGGAAAACAAGGTGATTGATACCTCCAAGCTGCCAATCATCAAGAAGAAGATCCGGCCTTTAGAGAAGCAGGGCCAGTATGAGTCACGGTAAGTGCTAAAGTCAGTGAGAAACACTTTCAAATGCTGACTTTGTGTTTCTGTTTATTACAGCCTCAACATTGTAGTCTAGTACCCAAATAGGCTCATGTAGAAGAAGAAATCCACCTTTATGAAAAAAAAAGATATGCTTCCAGTGTTAAATGTTGAGAGTGCTGATTAGCACTCTTATTTAGGACTTCACTTCAACTAACATGTCAGGTCCTTGTTATTATTTACACTATATATTTCAACTGCTTTTAGTGTTTCAAGTCAGCCCAGTGAACATTTTTCAGTTGAAAAAGTTACCACAAAATTGCTTGTCGTCACTTTGGAGTCTAAAACCACATGCAAATTTCTCAGTTGAAAGCTAGTACATATAAAACCTTCCTCATGCAGGAGTCAAATCGTTGTCTCCTGAAGGCAAGTCCTACACTTAGCACACTCAACCTCTCCTAGCTGACAAGGACTTTGATACTTCTATAGAACATATATATACTTTGACTTCCTAAGGCCCAAAAATAGTAGTAGTCAAAAGCTTTAACCAATACAACAAAGTACTTGCACAGTCGCATTACAGCTTTAAACAAAATTTCTTATTTGACATTAATGTACAGAACTTCTTCCATTATGATGTCTTGGAAGCTTCTTTTTGGCAGCACCTATACTTGCTACTAGGTATTAGAGGTGGTGATCTTTATTTGTAGAGACGTGAAGATCAAAAGGCTGATAAAGGTTTGTTTACCGAAACACTGTTATTAAATATCTCTGACTGTGGGTGAAGAAGTACAGTATTAACTAAATTCCTCAGACATTTTCTCAGAGAGGATGAGAGCACAAGTATGGGGTAAAGCCAGAGCCAAGCTGCAATGTTCAGCCAGCTTTCTTTGAGACAGGAAAATGTTCATCTGTGTGCTTAATCTGCTCACAACAGTCTGACTGAGCGAACTCTAGTTCCATGGACTTCTCTCCTCATCACATTATAGCAGTTCAGTTGGATCTGATAGTTAACTAAAAGCCAGTCACACATGTATAAATGTAAAATGTGTAGTTCTTTGTCAAGAATCGAATTAAGAACTATTGTTTTGTTGGAATATTTCATTATTTGTTTGAATATATGGACTTTTAGGCAAATTGGCTGCATGATTAGGTTGTCTATTGTACAACAAGAACATAAAACACTAGAATCCTCCATGAGTCTGACTTCAGGCATGCTTTGGATCCTGAACGACGATCGACCTCTGTTCCAGATATGCATGTTACATGTGTTGTTTATGTGTTGTCAGTGTGGTGGAGGCAGCTTGTAGCAAACCACTGACATATAAAAGATGGACGTCCCCTCTCCATTTACTCCCACTGTGTAAAATGTCCCGGATATGGCCACTGCCAGATCGGGGTTGGTGTGGTATCAAAGTCCCAACCATACGCCCAGCCGACTTAATCGTGAGCAGGGCTCAGGTGTCAGTCATGACTTAGAACCCCCTTTTTATAGCTTCAAATAACTTATTAAAATTATTTTCTCAGGAGTTTCTGACTTCACGCTTGACTGTGATTGGGGCTAGGGAACTCCCTCTGAATACGTCCATATGGTCTCAAGTCCATATCTTTATGGATGCGTGTGTATATATACACCTGTGTGCTTGGTTGGTTAAGAATGTAGATGCATGGGCTCCCGATTAGCTCAATTGGTAGAGCTGGCAACCCATGTACTGAGTCCTTGCTGCAGCGGCCCAGGGTTTGAATCAGACCTGCGGCCCTTTGCTGCGTGTCATCCCCACTCTCACTATCCCCCTTTCCTGTCCCCATCAAAAAAGGCAATAAAAAGGCCAAATAAAGAATAATAAAAAAAAGAATGTAGATGCACAGTACAGTTTGTGCCTTCATTTATGCACGAGAAAGGAAATCAATCATAATGAGGGCTGTTGATTAAAGGCACACTATGCAAGATTTTTACCTTAATATAACAGCTTCGAAGTCATTTCGATGGTAAACAAACTCGTAGTATAGCAAATCATCCCGATAGCAAAGCAGGAGAGGGAAGCCGTTGGCAGAACCAGCAATGCAAGTCTGAAAGGTGGCGTCCCGCCAAATCTCACAAGAATCACAACGTTAACGATGAATCCTCCATAAACACTAAAGTTAGTCATGGAGTTCCACAGGGTTTTGTGCTTGGACCAATTCTATTTACTTTATATATGCTTCCCATTCCACAGACAGACAGACAGACAGACAGGTGCACAGCAACAACAGTAGCAACAACCACACGAATAGTACTGACTGATGATGATGAACATGAAGAAGACGACGACGATGGGGGACAACGAGCAGTGACAACAGCAACAACAGTAACCGTAGCAATAATAATACTAATAATAATAACAGTAATATCAGTGATATTAGCAATGGCAGTCAAGCAGGACCATGGCAGGAGGCTCCACCAGGATCCATGAGAATCTGCGAGACGAGAAAGCACAAGAGCTTAGGGGAAGAAGTGATGTTATGCATTAATGGGACACATGAATGAGTGCAGAAAGAGAGAGAGAGAGGAAGAAAGGAGCTTAGTGCATCATGGGAAATCCCCTGATAGTCTAGGCCTATAGCAGCATAACTAAGGGATGGTTCAGGACTCACCTGAGCCAGCCCTAACTATAAGCTTTATCAAAGAGGAACGTCCACAGGAGAGGAGCTTGGTAACTGAAGGCTCTGGCTCCTGTTCTACTTTTAGAGACTATAGGAACCACAAGTAGCCCTGTATTCAGAGAACGTAGTGTTCTAGAGGGGTAATAGGGTACTATGAGCTCTTTAAGATATGAAGGGGCCTGACCATGAAGAGCTTTGTAGGTGAGGAGGAGGATTTTAAATTCTATTAAAAATTTTACAGGGAGCCAGTGCAGAGAAGCTAGTACGGGAGAGATGTGATCTCTTTCCTAGTTCCTGTCAGTACTCCTGCTGCAGCGTTCTGAATTAATTATTTCTTTATTGATTAGTTTTTCTGCATCTCTCTGTGACAGGATGTGTCTATTTTTTGTAATATTACGTAAATGAAAGAAGGCAGTCCGAGATCTGCTTTCTGTGGGAATTAAATGACATGTCCTGATCAAAGATAACTCCAAGATTCCTGACTGTGGTGCTAGAGGCCAAGGTAATGCCATCTAGAGAAGCTATGTCTTTAGACAGTGAGTCTCTAAGGTTTTGGGGGCCAAGCAGAAAAATTTAGGTTTTTTCTGAGTTTAACATCAGAAAATTGCAGCTCATCAAGGATTTTATGTCCTTAAGACATGTTTGTAATTTAGATAATTGATTAAATTCATTGGGCTTGATCGATAGATATAACTGCATATCATCTGCAGAGCAATGAAAGTTAATGGAGTGATTCCTAATAATGTTGCCTAAAGGGAGCATATATAAAGTAAATAGTATTGGTCCAAGTACAGAACCTTGTGGAACTCCATGACTAACTGTAGTATTATGGAAGATTCATTGTTAACGTGTACAAACTGAGAACGATCTGATAAGTATGACCTAAACCAGCTTAGTGCGGTTCCTCTAATTCCAATTTGAAGTCTTTGTAAAATAATATCATGGTTAATGGTGTCAAATGCAGCACTAAGATGAAGAAGACCTTTAATTCCCACATAAAGTAAACCTCTAGGCCGGCCTTTTTTCATTTACGTAACATTGCAAAAATCAGACATATCCTGTCACAGACGGACACAGAAAAATTAGTCCATGCATTTGTTACTTCTAGGCTGGATTACTGCAACTGCTTTTTATCAGACTGCCCCAATAAGTCCATTCAGACAATCCAATTAATTCAGAACGCTGCAGCACGAGTACTGGGGCAGCTGTGGCTCAGAGGTAGAGCGGGTCGCCCACTAATCGGAAGGTTGTTCGATCCGCGGCTCCTCCCCCCACGTGTCGGAAGTATATCCTTGAGCAAGATACTGAACCCCAAATTGCTCCTGATGGTGTGCTTCGGTGTGTGAATGTGTGTGAAAGGGCGAATGTGGCATGTAGTTTACCATTTACTATTTACTGACATGGACTAGGAAAAGGGATCACATTTCTCCTGTATGAGCCTCTCAGCACTGGCTCCCTGTAAAATTCAGAATAGAATTTAAAATCCTCCTCCTCACCTACAAAGCTCTTCATGGTCAGGCCCCTTCATATCTTAAAAAGCTTATAGTACCCTATTACCCCACTAGAACACTGCACTCTATTAATGCAGGGCTACTTGTGGTTCCTAATATGACTGAAATTATTATTACTATTATTATTATTATTATTATTATTATTATTATTATTATTCATCCCCAATCTGCTATTGTTGTTGTCGTCATTGTCTTATCAATCAGGCAGACAGCCTCTTAAAAGGAAGTTAGGAGTACGGTCTAGACCTGCTCAATTTAAAAAGTGTCCTGAGATAACGTTTGTAATGTACTACTGTAAAAACATCTGTAGCCTAATATTTTCTTTTCCTGGAGGAGCTGAGAAAATAACCCTGGTGGCGTCATAGTGATGACAGAAAGTTGGTGTCAGAAGGGATACATGCAACAATGATAGGGCTGGATCTTTGGATGTCTGTTCCAAATACATTTGCCTAATGACGATTCTTCTTCTTCTATGTTTCCTGTGTCTAGGCGTCTTTGGCAGCATGTAACAGCGTCACTGAAGGCAGGAAATATTGACACAGCCACAGAACACAAACACCGCCTAGAGGAGAGACAGCGCAGCGAAGGAAAACAGAGAGAGGCCACCAAGACCCCCTGGAAACCCAAATATTTTATTAAAGAGGTGAGGGAGAGCATTCACCAGTGCCATGCACTGTCACCATTTTTAGTAAGTAAGTGTATTGTAGGTTTATTTAGATGCTGGTAAACCTGCTAAAAATAGGCAATTGACTCCTTTCTCATTACCATTGGACAAGTTTTGCCTTTCTGTTTTTTTTTCCGTGTCACATTTAACGTCACAAACATGCTGGAAAACAGGGTAAGTTAACAATAGAAAGCATTTGTTACTTGCCATGGGCTGCGAGCAATGCCTCTCTCATGACCAGAATCCAACAGGGGACGCATTCTGGCTGTGCTGTGACTGCTGGAGCTGAACGCCCCCGTTCTAGACAATGCTCATCATTCCACCAGAAGCACCACAGCACATCCCAGATGCATTTCTCTGCTGTCTCTGGTCTATTTTTGACAGAAGCTGTGAACCACCCATGTCAAGCAGCTCAGAGCAGATCTCATTAGTAGGAAGTAAGACAGAAACGGTACAGAGAATCCGGTCAATTTTCAAAATAAAATCCCCTGTGTAGACTCTGGATCAAAATTCATGCTACACCAACACTTTAAGCAAGAAATAAGCCATGCAGTTGCTGAATATGTCTTCATTTTAGATTGACAGTGTTTAACAATTTTCATAAGTTTTCAAGTCCATTTATTCTGGAGCTTTTAATTATGTCATATGATCTTAATCATCGGATGGAAAGTGCTCAGTTGTTGAAAATTCTATTTTTAGTAGTACGAGGTAGGCAAAAAGCTGTTGACTCTTTTATTCTGTGTGTCTGTGTGTGTGTGTGTGTGTGTGTAGGGTGACGGCTGGGTGTACCACAACCCTCTATGGAAAGCTCACTGACCAGGAACCTTGGAAGCAGCTGTTGACTCCCAGACAACTAGTGGGGCGTTAAGGGCCAAGGGCTGGCCAACAAAGACACGGGGAGGGAGAGAAAGAGGGAGGGAGGGAGAAAAAGTTAAGTTTTTAAAACAATAATTTATTCAGATAAAATTGATTCTACATTTACAATGTTTTACAACAAAGACAATCACAGACAACAATATGAAACCAAAAATAAATCAATTCAATTAATTTAAAGAATGTGTGTGAATGTGTATGAATGCGTTAGTTTCTGTTCTATGGCCATCACTGAGTGAATGTGTGTGTGAAGGGGGGGATGTGGCATGTAGCGTAAAAGTGCTTTGAGTGGTCGGAAAACTAGAAAGGCGCTATAGTACAGGTCCATTTACCCCCCCCCAGATCTCTCTCTCTCACCCCAACTGGTCGAGACAGACGACCACCCACCTAGAGCCGAAGGATCTGTCCTAGGTTTCTGCCTTTTAACAGGCAGTTTTTCCTTGCCCTTGTCGCCAAGTGCTTCCTCATGGTGGTACTGTTGGGTCTCTGTAATTAATGTTTTAAAGAGTTCGGTCTAGACCTGCTCTATTTAAAAAGTGTTGTGAGATAACTTCTGTTATGAATTGGCGCTATACAAATAAAATTGAATTGAAATTGAATTGAATAGATCCATTTGTTACTGCCACACGACATAACCCCCAGCCGCCGTGCAACAGTGCTTAAGAAAGCTTGTTTGAGCAGTGAAAAACTAAAGGCCTGAATAACTCCCAAACGGCCGTGTACATGGACAGCTGCGCACTCTGTTAATGCTATATTCTGGAGTCCACTTGAATGTGTTCCCCACAGTGTAGTACACATTTGCATAATTTGAGTGTTTGCACAGAGAATGCTCAATGACACACTTTACAACACTTGGACACTAGAGGTCCAGCGTGTAATATTTAGGAGGATCTATTGGCAGAAATGTATAAATATGAATATATATGAATATAATATTCTGTATAGGTAAGTATGTTTTCATTCGTGTACAATCAAGAAAATAAGATTTGTTGTGTTTTTGTTACCTTAGAATAAGCGTTTTTTTATCTACAGAGCTGGTCTGACATATTTCTACAGTAACTCAGAGGGGACAAACTAAAATCGGCTCTTGATAAGGGCATTCACACGTTTCACGGCTACCATAGTTTCTCCTGGTGTTGCAATCTGAACCTACACCACTAAATGCTAATAAATCCTACACACTGGACCTTTAAGAGTCACCAGTAAAACATATACATAAAACCAAACTTTTAGAGAAGGCTAACATCCACTCACTGAGGAGAAAAAGAGAGGGAGAGAGAGAGAGAGAGAGAGAGTAATAGACGAGACACTCCTTGTGTCAGAACAAGTGGTGCAAAAGACAAAGAAAATGGAAAAACTTACCATCCTGTCCAATCAGAATGAACTGGTTCAGCAGTGAGATGAGACTCTTATACAGGTACAGCCACTTTTAGGATTACAGTATTCAGACACAGGAAGTACCTAGACAGAAAGACTGAAAAGGACATCTATTTCTGACAAAGGATCCAAACAAACCCCTGTAAACAGCTACTGCCCCTCATTGGTTGCACAATGTACTACTGTAAACTACAGTGTTGGTCAACTGTTTTGCACAAGTCACCGTACAATGTAGCATAAACAGCAATGTATATGTGTGAGCACTGTGTGTGTGTTTATGTTTAGGTGTATGTTTGTAAGAATGGAAGGATAAACTGTTTAGCCACTTTGAAAAACAAGCCTTTAGGCACAGTCAAAGCTGCAGCCAACTGAAGTAAGAACTTTTTTAGGGGAGAAATTATATTTTATCTAAACTCATACTGCATATTCATCACAGTACATACATTTAGAACATTAAGGTTCACTTTCACTGTCATATTTCATCCTCAACTAATATAGCTCTTGAATAAGAACCATTATACCAGCTGAATATGTCACTGTAACATTTACCATGCTGTAGTTTGATCTTAAAGTCTGCTAAACTCTTTAGCTTTAAAGGGTCAATTCACCCATATTATCGTACAAAAAACATTCTTCCTTGTAGTGGCATCTTTCCATGCACTAATTTTCAGCTCTGAAATTACTCCATTACAACAGAGTTGGATTTAATTTAGTCTGTACTGCTTAGAGCAGTGGTTCCCAACCTTTTTCTTTAAGGGATCCCTTTTCTGTCATCAAGTAAACTGACGACCCCAGATGAGGTGACATATTTTATGGAAGCATTATATTCAAAACTGAATTATTAACCAAATAGGGAACTCAATAACAGCAGGAAGTTTGTTTAAAATTAGTGATTTTAATGAGTTTTTAAAATTTTGTTTTCTTCTCATTGTTCTATTAGCTCTTTGGATGTTTGAACTTTGCTAATGCCGGATGAGGCTAAGTTTTCTTACACCCCTGAAAATCAAGGCCACATGATGAACAAAATAGTGAAATGCTCTAAATTGCAACTCATGTTACACAAATGTAGTGTTTCAGATAACTTTGTCTGTGAACATAACTTTTGGCTTCACCTCTGGAAGTGAGACAATGATTACAGTAAGTCCAGCATAGTGTATTTCACTCAATACCAAAAACAACAACAAAAAAATGAATATCCAATAAAATTACTTAATACAACCACTGGCCAAAAATAAAGTGACGCGTCTTGTGTCTAAAGCCCTATTCTCACAGGACTAGTATTAGCTGGGGACCTCATGTGATTTAGTAATTACCCCACCACGTCTGTGTTTCGTGCGGCGCATTTGCACGGAATAAGCAAAGTCTGTGTTTTAACTTTAAACTTTCATTTATAATGGCCAATGCAGCCTCCATAATTGTCGACCGGGAAAAAGGCAGAAAAAGGCAGAAAAAGGCATAAAAAGGCGCGGAAAACACAAAAAATTAAAAAAACGACCCCAAATCACAGAGATGCCAATTCGCACAGGAGTAATATTACCACAAGACTTCTGTGTTTGGCGAAATATGGTAGGTAATTTGCGGTGGAATTTTTACTTTACAAATTACAGACATGGCAGATTCGTGCGGGATTAAGATCACAGACGACCTCCGCAATTATTACAAATTACTAGAGGTCCCCAGGTAATACTAGTCCCGTGTGAATAGGGCTTGATAGTCTAGCTAAATGTTCCCTGACACTTGTAGCCCGACCAGGGCTGCTGTAAGCTCCAGGGAATGTTGTGCGTTGGCTCCACAGAATAGAAAGTTGGAGAATAATCCGATTTGGGTGAGCTATACTTTTTTGCTCGTTGCCAGGTGTTGGCAAGCTAATCAACTGTCACTCTCAGGATGGATGGGCCTCTTCCCCTAGTGAGCAGATGTGCCCTTTTTGGTCAAAAATGCTTCAGAATTGCTGGTTGATTTAATACTGGATGGAATACTAGTTAATGTTCTGTTCCATTTCGTGTAATTGAATTCAATTCAGTGTTAGGTGTATTGCCAGACCCTAACAGAAGTTATCTCAGGACAGTTTTCATATAGAGCAGGTCTAGACTGTACTTTTTAAAAATGTACAGAGACCCAACAAAAGTCTAGCAGAGCCTTTTCAGTGAGCCACCATGGACAATAGCATCACCCTGACCTAACCTTAATTAGTATCATTGGTAACCCCGGGGGTTACCCTTTTATTTCATGTCAGAATGACTGCTGGGAAAAAGGTCAATAACAGATTATAATAAGGGTACAAATCACATACTTAACTAATCCATGACTCATGATTATTGATTGATGATTCATACATGAATTGATATGCAACCAGTTAGATAGGTTGCTGTTAGAGGTGGCTGTGGCACAGAGGCAGAGCGGGTTGTCCACTAATCGGAAGGTTGTTGGTTCAATCCCCAGCTCCTCTTGCCACTTGTCGAATTATCCTTGAGTAAGATACTGAACGCAAAATTGTAGGTATCCTTCCGTTAAAGAAAGAAAAACCCACAATGGTCACTGAAATAACTGACAAAAGTAATAAATGAAAGCTAATAAAAATCAGACATTGCTTTTGAATTGTGGTTCAATAGAATCATTTTATAAAACAAACTAATGAAAGTGCCTGTACCACACTGAACATGGACCACAGAAAGCTAAGGAGAGAGTTGTTTCAGGAGATCAGAAAGAAAATTATAGACAAGCATGTTAAAGTTAAAGGCTATAAGACCATCTCCAAGCAGCTTGATAAGTTGCACATATTATTCAGAAGTTTAAGGTCAACGGGACTGTAGCCAACCTCCCTGGACGTGGCCACAAGAGGAAAGTTGATGACAAATTAAAGAGACAGATAATGCAAATGGTAACCAAAGAGCCCAGAACAACTTCCTAAGAGATTAGATGTGAACTACAAGGTCAAAGTACAACAGTGTCAGATCACACCATCAGCCACCAACAGCTGTTTGAGCCAAAGTGGACTTAATAGAAGACGACGACGAGGACACCACTGTTGAAAGCAAATTATAAAAAAGCGAGACTGGAAATTTGCCAAAATGCATATTGACAAGCCACAAAGCTTCTGAGAGAATATTCTTTTGACATATGAGACAAAACTGGAGCTTTTTGGCAGTCAAGTGACATCAGCTCTATGTTCACATACACAAAAATGAAGCATACAAAGAAAAGAACACTACCCACTGTGAAACATGGAGGAGGCTTGGTTATGTTCTAGGGTTGCTTTGCTGGATCTAGCACAGGGTGTCTTGAATCTGTGCAGGGTACAATAAAATCTCAAAACTATCAAGGCATTACTAACTCCACTTCTTCCCCGGAGTTCTTGTGCTTTCTCGTCTCGCAGGTTCTCATGGATCCTGGTGGAGCCTCCTGCCATGGTCCTGCTTGACTGCCATTGCCAATACTGTTGTTGCTGTGCACCTGTCTGTCTGTCTGTCTCTCACTCTCGCTCTCTCTCTCTCTGCCTCTCTCTCTCTCTCTCTCTCTCTCTCTCTCTCTCACCCCAACTGGTCGAGACAGACGACCACCCACCTAGAGCCGGAGGATCTGTCCTAGGTTTCTGCCTTTTAACAGGCAGTTTTTCCTTGCCCTTGTCGCCAAGTGCTTGCTCATGGTGGTACTGTTGAGTCTCTGTAATTAATGTTAAAAAGTTCGGTCTAGACCTGCTCTATTTGAAAAGTGTCCTGAGATAACTTCTGTTATGAATTGGCGCTATACAAATAAAATTGAATTGAATTTAATTGAATTGAATTGGAGTAAAATGTGCTGCCCAGTGTCAGAAAGCTTGGTCTCATGGGTCGTCCAACACGATAATGACCCAAAACACACAGCTAAAATTACCCAAAAATGGCTAAGAGCAAAACATTGGACTATTCTGAAGTGGCCTTCTATTATCCCTGATCTAAATCCTCTTGAACATCTGTGGAATGAGCTGAAACATGCAGTCTGGAAGGCACCCTTCAAACCTGAGACAGCTGGAGCAGTTTGCTCCTGAGGCAATCAAGCGATTTCTGTAACTCTCAATGAGACTTATATCACTGAGAGTTACAGAAATCGCTTGTTGCAGTGATTGCCTCAAAAGGTTGTGCAACAAAATATTAAGTTCAGGGTACCAGGGTGTCCAGACCAGTTTCATTAGTTTGTTTTTTGAAATGGTTCTGTTGAACCACAATTCAAAAGCAATGTCTCATTTTTATTAGTTCATTTTCAGTAGATTTTTATTTATTACTTTTGTCAGTTTCAAGTTATTTCAGTGACCATTGTGGGTTTTTCTTTCTTTAACTGAAGTACCAACAATTTTGTCCACGTGTGTACTTTACTGCACCTTAGTGGAATTTTGTGTAAGTGCACTCTTAATGCTAAAATAAGCAATCCTGAAGTATAGTAACCAGTAATAGTTTGATCTTCAGCATCTCAGCTCTAAAAACATTTTTTCTCTATTGTCAATCTCTTGTAGAAGCAATCTTCACTGTAGTGGTTTTACTGCACTGCAGTGTCATCATATAGCATAGATTAGACCATTTTACCATATAGTCAACAAACCTATGTCTAACACTTGACTGTAGACAGTCGTCTCTAGGGGGGACAGGCCTAGGACTGAACAATCTCTGTATTTGTTTAAAATAAATATATCTTATCAAATCTGTTGTCTCCTGGATTGTTGGGTGCTTCTTGAGTGTGTTGGCTTACCACATTGTTGTCAAGAGAGAGTTTAACATAGGGGTGAAAGATCCTTAACACAAGTAAAACTAGTAATACAACAATGGAAATAATACAAGTAAAAGTCTGCTCAAGTCTATACTTATGTAATGTTTTACATTACATTTACACAACATTATCAGAAAAATGTACCTACAGCTTTAAAATGTAACATTTTCACATTAAAATGTCTATAAACACTAAAGCTATGTTCTATATGTAGTTGAGTTGTGTACTTACATTATCCCAAATGTTTCCAACAATGTTCAAACTCATTTTATTCAGGTAACGCTACTGATCACAAATCAATGGCCTCATATCCCCTTTGTGCATGCGTCAGTATTGTGGTTGTCTGCAGAAGCTGCATAAACTGACTTTTTATATACACATTTTTACCACCCACTGTTTAGATCTCAGTGGTTTTATATTTGAACTGGATGAAGGATTTTAGTTATTGGACTTCTGGATCTTGGAGTTATCAGAGAAACAAGCTGAACTAACTCATTCTCTGCATTCAACCCCTCTTAAGTTCTAGGAGCAGTGGGCAGCCACTGTGCAGCACACGGGACCAACTCCAGAGCTGAGCCAGTACCTTGGTTAAGAGCACCGACAGGAGAATTAACCTTACATAAATTGTTTTAACGGTGGGGTAAACCAGAGCACCCAGAAGAAACCCACACACGGGGAGAACATGCAAACTCCCGTGGAAAGGCCCTGCCCCAGCTGGGATTTGAATCCAGGACCTTCTTGCTGTGGGCTGTATGTGTAAGATAATAACAAGTTGATCTGTTACTGCTCTTGTGAGGCTATTTAGACTAAGATCAGAGTTAACTATAAAGACAACAGTTATGTTATCATGTATCATTAACTCCTACGAACAAGGGATATTTATGTGTTTATTGCTTTTTTGGATCCCCATGAGCTGTGACAACAGCTACTCTTCCTGGGGCCCATGTTAGGAGCATAATATATTCACATACATGCATACAGAAATACATTTACATCACTACCCCTTTCTTTTGAGAATTGAATGTTTGCACGGATCTATAAAAACTAACTAAAAGAGAAATGGTTTGGTGCAAGGTAAATGTATTTCAGTCCAATGTTCCGATCGCAACCGTTAATGCAATTTTGTCCAATCACTGCACATTTTTTACAAATCTGAAAACTGATCATAGTTTATCGCTAGTCTAAAAATGTAAAAAAAAAAAAAAAATCCCCAAAAGGCCTGCAAAATCCTGAAGGGACTGGTATTTTAATCTATAGGGTCCAATATCTGAAGGCAAAAAGTCCCTTCTTGGTTTTACAATGTGGTGATTATAACTGATGACTACATAGCTTTCCCGAACTCTCGCGTCTTTTCTTGCCTCCTGCGTAGTTGATCTAAAAAGGTTTGACCAGAACTAGCCTGTGAGCAATCACTTGTACCAATTGGAGGTAGAAACTAAGAGCCACCTACAAAGTTTCAGTAGCTAGGTAATGTTACCCTAACACATTTTTATTTATCAACATAACTGACATACTAAATAACATGGGGTATAGAAACAATAATACTACCAGTACTACACTATTATATTATTTAATTATTATTATTGACACATGGAAGCCAAGCTGGTTCAAGCAGAGCAACTGTAACTACTTAAAACAGTACACTGTTTGGTAGTTTAGTCCAGTGGTTCTTAACCTTAAGTCACAAGTCACAAGCCCCCAGAATAATCAGGTTGACCTCCCTCATTTGTAACACACGAAAGCTCCCAAACTCACACAGACAGAACAACAATTTATTCATGAGGCTAGAGTCAAGAATATATCTATACATTTCATCAATTAACCCCATATGGCCAAAACATGTTTGCAGCAACTCCTGCCATTTTGAAACAGACAGAAGATGAGATCTGTTGGCCACACACCCATGTGTGCCACATCATTAGAAAGTTAGACTGCATGCGTGTTGTTTTAAATAAAGGATTATAAAGGAGTGTCATGTGCCCCACAATTCAATTCAACTTAATTTTATTTGTATGGCGCTAATTGGACCTGTACTTGTATAGTGCCTTTCTAGTCTTCCGACCACTCAAAGCACTTTTACACTACGTGCCACATTCACCTTTTCACACACATTCACACAGCGATGGCAAAGCTGGGGTTCAGTATCTTGCTCAAGGATACTTTGACACGTGGCAGGAGGAGCCGGGGCCACAGCCACAGCCGCCCTTTCATAACAGAAGTTATCTCAGGACACTTTTCAAATAGAGCAGGCGAAGGCAGCAAGGAAGAACTTCTTTTTAAGAGGCAGAAGCCTCTGACAGACCCCGGCTCTGGGTGGGTGGTCGTCTGCCTCGACCAGTTGGGGTGAGAGAAAGAGAGACAGAGAGAGACCAAAAGAGAGAGAGAACAGAGGTAACAGAGACAGAGACAAAGGTGATCAGCAACAACAGCAGCAACAACTACACCAATAGTAGTGACCGATGATGATGATGATGAACATGAATAAGATGATGACGACAACGACAATAACGATGGGGGACAATGAGCAGTGATTATAGTAATAATAGTATCTGTAGTAATAATAATAGTAACGATATTAGCAGTGGGAATCAAGCAGGACCATGGCAGGAGGCTCCACCAGGATCCATGAGAACCTGCGAGACGAGAAAGCACAAGAACTCTGGGGAAGAAGTAAAGTTAGTAACATGCATTAACCTCTTACCATGTATGTAAAATTATTTAAAAACGCCTAAAAACAACATACCCAAAGTAAATGAAAAGCTGTTCTTCAACCATTAGCAGTATATGCATGGTTTTGGTCTCATTTAAAAGATAACACTCTAAAAAACAGCTGTTCATGGGCATTTATCTATGTGCTCTCGTAGATGGACAATAAATCTTACTGGAGTGGATATAATGGGCCTTTGGCAATGAAACAGGACTGTTTTTGCTGGATTATTATTGATTCCAGGATTGCAATGAGGCTTCTTGGGTGAGTTGGCTCAATTTTATGATTGCTTGCTTGCTAGTTTGAGGTGCCGATTGTGCCTGCTGTTGTGACTGTATCCCAAAATAAATAAATAAATAGACGAGATTCTAAGCTTTCCAATGATGTATGGTATGGGTACTAAATCCAACATGGCAGAATGTAAACATGGCGGTATGTCAACGGCCCGGCCCGGGTCGTTTCATGAGTTTTCGAGCATGAGAAAGCCTCCAAATATGTGATTCAAAAGTTACTAAAGAAAAATAAAATGTATCAAACGTGAAGTTTCATTGAGATTGGACCATGTACATTGAAGTTATGGGGACATGTTCAGGGTGGGACTGTTACAGAATATGTAAAGTTTAGTGGAGATTGGACATTGTACACTGAAGTTATGAGTACTATCTGTTTCCTGGCGAAATTCGACACCACGCCAAGGTACAGTCACAAATAGCACAACTTTTCACCTGCTGATTGTACTGTCCAATTTTAAAGTAGATCCGATAAATACCCTAGGAGGAGTTTGTTTAAATACAACGCGAAAAATCGTCCAAAATGACTGCAAAATTCAAAATGGGCAACTTTGACACCACGCCACAAACACGCTCTTCCACGTACATGCACAAATAGCACAACTTTTAATCAGCAATACTTTTTAACTGTACTGACCAATTTTGAAGTTGATCTGATAAATTCCCTAGGAGGAGTTTATTCAAATACAACGCGAAAATGACCACAAAATTCAAAATGGCCAACTTCCTGTTGGGTTTGGGATACAGGTCCAAGAGGCTTTTTTTGCTTGTCCAATCAGGATTCACATGTGTACCAATTTTCGTACATGTCGGTCGTAGGTGTCTTGGGGACTGATTCTGGGAGACATGGCTAAGCCATTTTGCGACGCCCATCTACAGGACCAAGACAATACGTTAGCTTTCACCATGACAAAATTTTGTGCAAAGTTTCATAGTCAGAGTTTCAGAATTTTCGGGCATGTTTAGCCCCGCAAAAAGTGTTCAAATGTTAACACAAAAGCTGATTTTAGCCACGTCGCCAAGGCAACTTGGTTCTATGAAAATTAAGATTCATAACATGTCATCGTCCTCACCTTAAGGGAGTTCTGACAGAATTTCAGCTGCATCAGCTGTGAGATATACATAAAAGTAAAAAAATATATATATATTTTAACCACTAGGTGGCGCTATCACTATTACTGGATATTATCACACGTTGAGATCAGATCATGTACGCAGAAGTTATGACAACTTCCTTTTTCATGGCGAGTCGTTAAAAATCAACGCCACACCATGGGATGTTGTAAATAGCGCAACTTTTAATCATGAATGTCTTTAGATTGCACTGATTAAATTTGAAGTTGATCTGATAAATTCCCTAGGTTTGTTCAAATAAAACGTGTGCAAATCACCAGAAATGACCGCTAAATCCAAAATGGCGCATCGGTGAAAGGGTGGTACAGTTTATGGGCCCCCGAGGGGGCATTTTGCTATAGTCATAGTTTACCCCTATAAAATACGAAAAAAAATTTAGTTTTCGAGCATGTTGCGGCCTCCAAATATGCAGTTGAGGAGGCAGAAAAATAATAAGAAGAATTCCTTGCAATACAATAGGGCCTTCACACGGTCAGTGCTCGGGCCCTAATAACCTTTACAGATACAATAGGGCCTTTGCACGGTCAGTGCTCGGGCCCTAATGATAATATGATATATTTCAACTCACCTGGTTGATTGATGAGTTCAAACATATGTCACTGTTGTTCCTGGATCAGCAGGATTATTTTTCACTTTGCATACACAGGGACACGCAAGCAGATATTTGTTTGGTATGATCCGGTTTTTAATTTTAACATGTTTTTCCACCAGATTACATAAAGGTGCATACACATACCACATAGCTAATAATAAATATACAAGATACAGCTCATGACAACGTGCCCTTCCAATTCAGATTACATAGGTCTAATAAACATCATACAGAAACTGTTCTTAATGTTTTTATCTGGATAGATAAAGGGTAAAAAAATACAGCACCTTCTGATTCAGATGTATAGGCTTTGCAACAACTGCAACAACACATGGCTCAACACTCATTTGACTATTAAAATTAGCCATGAGTTGACACGAAAATGAAATGTAACCAATGAAATTACTTATTTTGACAAAGCCTTTTTTGACACACATTTTTAGCCAATAAGTATTAAACTAACAAGGTAATGTGTCAAAAGGCGGACCTTTTTTGTTATTTTCTCATAAGGAGGACAAATGAGTGTCATTTAAAAGCCGGACTGTCCGGCCTAAAGCCAAACGAATGGCCACCCTACTCCGTGTCCTGTTGAGACGACGACGACGACGACGCTGGTGTTGTAGACGCTGGCTTCTTAAAAACAGTGCAGTTTTCCACCCTGAAGTTTGTTCCATGCGTGATGAGGTGCTTCATCATGTTGCTAATATTCCCCGCTTTTCCCGAAATAATCTTGCCGCATTTGATGCATCTATTTGTACCCGGCGCCACAGGCATGTAGTACAACCCTACCTTTGAACGTTTTGCTGCCGGCATCTCAGAATGCTGACCAGCCAACTCCGCCACAGACTAAGCACGCACGTTTACCGCCATACAAAGCAAAACCATAGAAACAGTCATTTTTTTCTTGATCTGGGTAGTGGGTACAAAAAGAACCGATTGCAGGTATCATTTGACAGGCGCAGTTTGGATACTACTTGGTACCAGGTTGTTTCGGTCAATACCTGAAAGGTATCGAGTACCGATACCCAGCCCTACCCACAACATTTTATAATATTTTAGAAAAATAAAAGTGTTTCACAAAACACAGAAAACATACATCCAGGCTTCAAATAGAATGCTAGGAGGTGGAGGGGAAGGAATCTGATCGGCCACCTCACTTTCCACATATCAAACGGAGGGGAACACAAGAGCTTCTGTGTCATTACTAAACCATTTACTGTATAATTAAAAATCGGTGTAGGTTTCTGAAGAGCCTTTGTGAAGCTCAGTATGGTTGACTATGGCCATTGCCATCTTGGCAGTTGAGTTAAATTTTATTAATATTTATTATTCAATCTTATTAGTATATGATTTGGCGATATACAAATAAAAATCTATTTAATGTATTAAAGCGAAGTTAAAGGCAGAGCAAAATGAAGACCAAAGTGCAATGAAAAACAATGTCAAAGCGAGACCAAACAAGACAAGAAAAGATAAGACATCAGTGGCAACCTAGAGCCTTGGTTTACTTACCTTCCCACTGCCAGCAAAACAGATTGACTGGAGTTACACATATCCACATGCAACACGGGGCAGCTCAACAACCCTAAACATCAGCCTGAACACAGAAATGGAACTGAAAGTTCACATAAGAGGAAGAGTGAAGCCTATAAGAGTTATTTATCCTACACTTGTGATGAGGAAACAAGGTTCATTGTTTAGACCACACAGAGCTATAAGATATGTGGGTCTAGGCTTCCCGTCTTCCAGAAGACCTTCAAGGATCCAGCTGTAGGACAGTCATGCTCTACAAGTGTAAGGTACCTGACACCCAATCCGGGATACCTTTTCTGAAATGTTGTGTATTTATTACCTGCTTACTACGGTGGCCACAAAACTCACGAAAAGCTTGAAAGGTCCGATTTAGAGTCTTTGTCTATTCTGGCCTACTGTAGAAACATGCGGTTCAACATGACAGGGACTATGAAAGAGGACCCACTCCCTTCATAGATAAAAACAATAGATCCTCCTAAATGTTTCACACTGGACCTTCAAGCAGGAATTTTACTTGCGTTCGCTAGTATGCAAAGGTCTGCTATGGTCCAATTGTTGTAAATTTTGTCATCGATGTTGTACACATAGGGTCTGTCCTCTCTGTCACTACACTGTGGGGAACACATCCTCCAAGCGGCCTGCAGAAAAAAGTATAGACAGATCCTCAGATAGATCCTCCTAAATAATGTGTGTGTGTATGTGTGTGTGTATGTGTGTGTGTGTGTGTGTGTGTGTGTGTGAGTTAGGAACTAAGGCTCAGTGGTGTTGCACTGAGGCAAACACGAGGCAAACCATGCATTGTGAGAGTGAATAGAGCTCAGTGCAGGGGATTAGCATGAGAATGGTGTGTGAGTGCTGGAAGGCCTGTACTTCATTTCTGTCACTCTGCAACTCCTGCTCTCTCAACTCAGCCCTCTGCTCCTCCAAATACTCAGCTGTGGTTCAGCTCGGCTCTCCACCTCTGTCATAGTTCCTCTGATCGCTCAAAACTCTCAACGTCCTTGCTCTCATCTTCCTCGTGGCAGGATCTAGTGACAACATGGAGAATAACCATACCTTCCTGTACTTTGCATATGGCAGCAACCTGCTGAAGGAGCGGCTCCAGCTCAAGAACCCCTCTGCAAAAGTACACTGTGTGGCCAGACTCAAGGTATGGTCTGATATAAAAAGAACGTTCTTCACCTGCTCTATTGAAAAGTGTTCTGAGATAACTTTTGTTATGAATTTGCGCTATACAAATAAAACTTAATTGAATTTAATTGAATATTACAGTGGAAGCAGTAATGTTCAGCCCCATATTAACTATACACTTGTGACATGTCTTTTTCAGGACTATAAATTGGTGTTCGGAAACCATAAAGGCCTTGCCAGTGACCGGTGGCATGGAGGTGTAGCAACCATTGAGCACAGCCCAGGGGACGAGGTGTGGGGTGTGGTGTGGAGGATGAATATGTCTGATCTGGAGTCTCTAGACAGGTAAAGTTTTCATTTAACAGTTTCTTTAATTGTGTCCTGGATTTCCTTGAATGTCTTCCTGTGAAACTGACACATACGAGGTGTGTGTTTTTATGTACACACACACAGTCAAGAAAATGTGACGTTAGGCGCATATAGTCCTGTGGAGCTATCAGTGAAGACGAAAGGCCCGGAGCTCAACTGTCGTACCTACATAATGAACAGCTGTGTGTATGCCCCACCATCACCACAATATCTGCAGGTAAGACTGCTTTCACCACCTCCTTGCTTAAGTGTAATGGTGGAGGGGTGATTCCTTCCTGGCAGTTGCAAATTCTAAACATATTTAACCCTGAGAAAGTCATCTTATCCAAAAATTTTAAAAGATAAAGCCTATCTTATTCTAAATTTTTTTATTGTTGACAACATAGGAGTATCAATCTTTTGGTATCTTACGATTCAAATTGATTTTAAATATTGGGGTCAGAATTCACTTCAAAACAATTCCTGATCAAATAAAATAAATCTCAGTTAAGTATGTAGGGCTGCTAATGTCAGGATCTACTCCAGTCTGCTTGCATAATGAACTAGAATATTTGCATTTCCTAAAGAAAATGCATGTGATTGCTGCATCTGCTGCTGCAGCCACTACCGCTCCTCACTGGCACAGCTTCTGAAACAGTCTCAGCAAGAAGTGTTTCATGTTTCATATGATTCACATCTAAAGATACCACCCAAAATCAGTCGTGATTGAATACTGCGTTTAAGAGATATGGCAGGGTTTTATTAATTGGTGGAGCTATTATCGGTAGAATTGTATGAAATGCAATGAAGAATTATGGCCTGTTAAGTGCATCTGGCTACTCTTTCAAAAGTTTGGTGACTAATTGCAGAAAAAGTGATATAAATGGTAAAATGGTAAATGGACCTGTACTTGTATAGCACCTTTCTAGTCTTCCAACCACTCAAAGCGCTTTCACACTACGTGCCACATTCACCCTTTCACACACGTTCACTCAGTGATGGCAAAGTCCATCGAACAGAAACTAACATTCATACACACTCACACACCGATGTACAGCAATTTGGGGTTCAGTATCTTGTTTGTCTTCCTCTAAATATATTATGTATTATCTATGTACAAGATTTGATTAAATATGTGCCAAACATTTATTAAAATTAAAAATGGCAGATTGTTTTGTGTTGTTATGTTTTGTGCGCAGGTTAATAAAGACGGACTGGCTGAATTTTTGATGGCTCCATTTTAGACAGGTTATCAACTATGAGAGCTAACATTAGTAGTGAATGAATATCCAGTTGCCTTATTGTAACTAAGTTTTTTACGGAAGCTGGAACTGTTGTTTGTTTGAAAGTGAATTGATTCAGAATTGTAAAAGATAAGAATCCCAATTCGTAGGTGAATTGATTTTTATCCACACACCTAAAATCCCATGAAAGGACCCAAACCAACAATATTAGCTAGTTAGTTAGTTGGTCTGTCGGTACCTTTACTTCCCTACTCTATCAATGGCAGTCACAGGAGTCAAAATGTAAATACGTAATACAGCAATTTAAAAATACTTAATTAAAGGTAAAAGCCTAGCAGTCACAATCCAATTAGTAAAAACAAAAGTAGAGAAGCATCATCAGCAAAATACACCTACAGTATCAAAAGTAAAAGTAGTAGTAGTATATTAGTATTATATATTAGTATATATGACATTATTGCATTTCTAACCCACAATTTGTAAGCAGTGTTTTACTGAAGTTCACACACTTTTTGCAAGGGGTCACAAGTCAAATGTTTGTGAACCACTAGTTTAACCTAGTTATATTGTGTTAAATTTATATACGCTTAATATGATTAATTAATTGATCTGTAAAGTAACTAGTACCTATATCCATCAAATAAATGCAGTGGAGTAAAAAGTACAATATTTCCCTTTAAAATGTGGTGGACTAGTATAAAGTATAATATTGATATATTTAAGTAAAGTACAAGTACCTTAAAAGTTTACTTGGGGAAATCTGTTTTTCTCAAGAACTTTGGGGCTCTTGTGAGTATTTGGGGCAAAAGGACAATGTATGTGGAATAGAGTCAAAATGAACTACAGTGTGTGTAACTGATGTGTTTGTAATTGTTTTTGGACAAATTGAGCTCTCTGAGACAGAGGAAAAGATATATCGTGCTTTGATACACACATAATGCTTGTTAGTAGATACATTCACTGTTGTTTTTGCACTTTTCATGGAATTTGTTGTCAAAGAGAAAAAACATACACTCCATTGCCACTATATTAGGGCCACCTAGCTAAAACTAATGCCGTCTAATACAACAGGCCTGAATTAGACATTAGTTTTAGCTAGGTGTACCTTGTAAAATGGCAAGTGTATATCACCAGAATTATCCTTTAATCATTTCTATGATTAAAGCTGCAGTAGGTAACTTTTATAAAAAAATAATAACTTTTTGTCATATCTAAAGAGTCTCATTCCCAGCATTGACAACGTGTGAATATGATGCCCAGCAAATATCACGAAAAGTTATTTTTATAAAAGCTTTAATAGACAATGTGTATAGACAGTGTTTGTGGCCTGCTCATTTCCAACTAAGGGACAGTATGAATCATGTGTACAAAAAAGCAACTGTACAACTTTAGGAGCAAGGTCAACTTTCATTGCCAGAGTATTACAGAACTCACTGAATAAATTCTGCAATTATTGTGGGTCAAGTTTAAATCAGTTCAGTAACTATGGAGCAGTCTTTTGCTTCTGATGAATTAATCACTAATTTATCACTCGGACTGGCATCTTATGAAGCAGAATTAAAATCATTGTAACAAGCCTGACTGATAATTAACCCCTTACATTTAGTTATTAAAGAACTGTGACAGATTTCTAAAAATATATATACTACTAAGTTGCAACAGCAACTAAATTTCAGTAGAAACATGCCGCCTGCATTATGTTTTTTTTTTATCAACAACATGAGGAAACTTTTTTAAAGCCCCTGTGGACAAAAGCATTTCACTGATTTCGAGGGAAATCACTCAACACTGATTTCAAGCCAAAAACAAAACTCATTGACCTTTTAAATATTTAACAGCACCAAATGTAAACGGCAGTAGATGAGAAAGCGCAAAATCTCTGGGGAAGAAATGAAGTCAGTAACATGCATTAATGGGAGATGAATGTGTGCAGAAAGAGAGGGAGAGGAAGAGAGGAGCTTGGTGCATCATGGGAAGTCCCCCGGCAGTCTAGGCCTAGAGCAGCATAACTAGGGGATGGTTCAGGACTCAAATGAAACAGCTCTAACTATAAGCTTTATCAATGAAGAACATCTTAAGCCTACTCTTAAATGTGGAGAGGGTGTCTGCCTCCCAAACCCAAACTGGAAACTGGTTCCACAGGAGAGGGAGAGCTTGGTAGCTGAAGGCTCTGGCTCCTGTTCTAGTTTTGGAGACTGTAGGACCGGAAGTAGCCCAGCACTCAGAGAGCACAGTGTTCTAGTGGGGTAATATGGTACTATGAGCTCTTTAAGATATGAAGGGGCCTGACCATGAAGAGCTTTGTAGGTGAGGAGGGGGACTTTAAATTCTATTCAGAATTTTACAGGGAGCCAGTGCAGAGAAGCTTATACAGGAGAGATATGATCTCTTTTCCTAGTTCCTGTCAGTATACGTGTTGCAGCGTTCTAAATTAATAGGAGCGTCTTAATTGACTTATTGGGGCAGCTTGATAATAAGGAGTTGCAGTAATCCAGCTTAAGTTTTTTGTGAGTTTAGCATCAGAAAATTGCAGCTCATTCAGGTTTTTATGTCCTTAAGACATGCTTGTAATTTAGATAACTGATTAATTTCATCTGGCTTGATTGATAGATATAACTGGGTATCATCTGCATAACAGTGAACATTAATGGAGTGATTCCTAATAATGTTGCCTAAGGGAAGCATATATAAAGTGAATAGAATTGGTCCAAGCACAGAACCTTGTGGAACTCCATGACTTTAGTGTTTATGGAAGATTCATCGTTAACATGTACAAACTGAGAACAATCTGATAAATAGGATTTAAACCAGCTTAGTGCGGTTCCTTTAATGCCAATTAGATGCTCAAGTCTCTGTAATAGGACATGGTGATCAATGGTGTCAAATGCAGCACTAAGATCTAACAATACAAGTACATGGTCAGAAGCAATTAAAAGGTTGTTATTAACTTTAACCAGTGCTGTCTCTGTGCTGTGATGAACCCTAAATCCTGACTGAAAATCCTCAAATAAGCTGTTGCTATGTAAAAGGTCACACAACTGTTTGGTGACTACTTTCTCCAGAATTTTAGAGATGAAGGGAAGATTAGAAATGGGTCTGTAGTTAGCTAAAACCCCTGGGTCAAGAATGGGCTTTTTTAGAAGGGATTTGATTACAGCTACTTTAAAGGACTGTGGTACATATCCTGACAACAACCCTGGGTCAACATTTACAACAGATGGCAAGTGGTATATTGCTATTATATTGTATACATTGTTATTGCTATTAGACAAAGATGCATTAATAAACCATAACCATGCTTATGGTCATTGTGCAAGGACCGCCCATCAGATAATAATATTTAAAGGTTACATATGAGAATTACAACATTAAACAACCAGTAACTGGACTGTACTTATATGTATTTATTTGTAGTCTTTCAACCACCAATTCTATTCACCTTATATATGCTACCGTTTGGCAACATTATTCAGAATTACTCCATTAACTTTCATAGTTATGCAGATGTTAAATGGTAAATGGTAAATGGACTGTACTTATATAGTGCCTTTCTAGTCTTTCGACCACTCAGTGTGCTGTACACTACATGCTACACTCACCCCATTCACACACATTCATACACTGACGGCAGTGGGTGCCATGCAAGGTGCCAACTGCTCACCAGAACGGAAATTAATCATTCATACCCACTCATACACCAATGTACAGCAATTTGGGGATCGATGGAGGACACTTCGACATGCAGCGAGAGGGACCAGGGACCCGCTATACCTCTGAGCCAGTGTATGGGCTTCAGTGGCATCTAGCAGTGAAGTCACAGCTTGTAACCGTTGAATACAGTTCAGCTTTCCAAGCATGTGTGAGTATCTGTGGTGACCACGAAACTCACGCAAAAAAAAACATGAAAGGCCCTCTAGAGATAGGTTTTGATTTGTCCATTCTGGGCTATTGTAGAAACATGTCGGTTCAAGATCGTGGACTCCACAGACGATTACCCTTTGTAGAAATTGCTTGTCCTTTTCCAAAACTGTTCACAGGTAAACTTCATCCAATCAGGTCAATGAACCATGATGTAAGATTGTCATGGTGCCAGAATTTTAAGCTCCAGGTCTGATATAACTAGCACTAGCAACTAGCAGCATCTATGATAACTTCTCTAGCAGCCACCATTGTTGTTTTTGAGCGAACATTCACTTCTCTCAAACATTGTCATTGTCCCTTCTGGGCTACTGTAGAAACATAGCAGGTCGACATGGCGGACTCCATGTTGTCTGTAGATATATAAGGCTCATTCTACCTATGAATATTATATTCCATTTCTGACAAAAGATCAATAGATCCTCCAGAATACATGTCCTACACTAGACAAAATGTTGGCGATATATGTAATGAAGCATTTCGATTTCCTCCAAAATTCTTCTGGCAAAACCACTTATAAATACCATTTTAGGAGAAGGTTTACCAAACTGTGTCTTGTCTTTTGAGCAGTTAAATCTACATTTTACAGTTAAGATACAACATACATACATACATACAACTATATACATAATACTATACATGTTGGGGTGATTTATCAGTTGGACTCTATACTGTAATATTTACCGCCATGTAAACATTCATAATAGTGACCATAGCAAAACCTACACACAGTACACATACCCCAACTATGGGCTACAACTACTAAGAAGAGTGGGTCGATCTCTAATCAGAAGGTTGTCGATTCGATTCCCAGCTCCTGCTGCCACACTGAAGCATCCTTGAGCAAGATACTGAACCCCACATTGTTCCCATTGTGAATGTGCATGAAAGGGTGAATATGGCACGTAGTGTAAAAGCACTTTAAGTGGTCGGAAGACTAGAAAGGCGCTATACAAGTACAGTTCCATTTACCATTGAATAAAAAAGCAGTTGAGAAAACTCATAATTTCAAGGCAACTGTCTTGACTAAAGTTTAAGGTAAATTGGAACTTTTAAGTTTTGAAATAAACTAAAAAAAAACATTTTAGAAAAAATTAAATCTTTGAGTTTTAAAAACAGACAATTTTGTATTTAACTTTTTTTTTTACAACAGTGAACTGTGAACCTAATTTTTCATTACCTTGAGCCTGAAAATTAAATAATACAAACAAAATTACATTATGAAATACAGATTTTTTTTTTGTTGGATTGTTTCTAAAACTTAAACATTGAAGTTTCTCTAAAGAAGAAAAGTAAAGTATCATTATAATTAGTTAACTAACAAAAGTGTTCTCAAGTTTTTCTTTTTACAATGTATAGGATGAAGATGTAGTTCTTGTCTTGATGTTGACTCAGTCAGTGTTATATTTTGACATTGTAATAGTAGAGTCACCCTTGGATGATATTGTGAATGACCTTTAATGGCCCTTTTTTTACTCTGTCTGATGTCAAACATGATTGTTTAATGTTGTTTTGTATTAGGAAGACAAAAGAATACGATCATGAATCAGGTGATCTATTCACTCATTACCTACCCATTTCTCCCTGTGAACCATCTGGAATAGGGATCAAAACAGTCATGAGCCATGCTACGGTTTACAGATCTGACAGCTTGTTAACTAGAATACCAGATTGTTCTTTTGCACATGTGAGAGCTCCAAACATGCCTGATAGAAAAAGAGTGTGGCTTTGTGGTCACAGCTTTGTCTTCTATAGTGTGTATAGTCCACAGAGTCCACTATATTGTTTCCCCTTTTGCTGGGCTCAGATTTATTGTAATATTTGGATCCTGATATGCAGCAGCTCACATGGCTGTTACATACAGAACAATACAGTATCCAAAGTACAAACCACAGTACGAAAGACCACATTTATCTCTTCTCAGTGTCTCCTGTCTAGCGTATAATATTGCCCCCAAATCCAGTGTTCCATAAACTGCACATTTCAATGTCACACTATAGTCTAAGTCACTCATTGTATGTGAAGATATGGGACTGCGATGAAGAGAGATCTATGTAGACGCTGACAGAGGACTGCATCCGGTGCTAATGTGCTGCCACTATACAGGTGGTCTAGACAATAATTGTAAAGCAGTGGTTCTCAAAGTGTGTGGCAGGCCCCCCTGGTGGGGCAGAGAGCCACTGCAGGGGAGCATGGAAGACAGTTGAAGGAACAAGAGTTTTTTGATGTTATTGTGCTGACCTTCATTTCACTAAAATTCAACTTGGGTCCTTTTTATGAGTTCCTTCCTCTATCATTGTTAATAATTGATAAAAAAAATCCTCAGGTGGTGGGGGCATAAACTTGTTTTAGTTTCTGAACTAAAAGTTTGAGAACCACTGGTATAATGGTTTAAAGGTCCAGTGTGTAACATTTAGGATGATCTATTGTCAGAAATGGAATATAATATTTATAGGTATATTTTCATTAGTTATCATCATGTTTTTGTTAGCTTAGAATAAGACGTTTTTATCTACAGAGGGAGCAGGTCCTCTTCTATGGAGTCCGCTATGTTGAACCACCAATTTTCTACAGTAGCTCAGAACAGAGAAACCAAACACTGGGTCTAGATAGGGCCTTTCACAGCCACCATAGTTTCTCCCAAACGCATAGAAGGCTGTATTCAATTGTTGGAACCTGCAACTTCACTGCTAGATGCCACTAAATCATATACCCATTTTCTATCATTGAGTAAACTGACTAAAGTAAAGTAAAGTAAAGTGACTTATGGATATTTCATATTAAATTCAATGTATAACAATAAAAGTACAGTACAACTGATGTAACTGTAAAACTGTACCATGAACCCAACACGATAACTGCAGGACGTTTGTGTAAAAGAAGTGATTTGGATGATTTTCCCTTTTTTTTTTTTTTTTTTTTTTACAATCATACATACTTACATACATACATATGTATAGTTGTTTTTTTTTTTTTTTACAATCATAGATATTTAATATGGTTGCTGTGTATATTTTTGTTTTAAAGTTTTCTTCCAAACCTTAAAATCAAGAAAGCTTCACAAACGCCCTGAAGCTTTTGCAACCAGGTTGGGAAGCACTACTTCAAGACATTATTTGTGCATTAGCAACAAAAAACTTTCTTTCTAAAACTTCTCTGGTTTTATTCTGTAGACCAGGGACCATATTCTCAAAGGATCTTATCACTAGGAGTCCTCCTAAATGGTACTCAATGTTCCTTTTAGTGGTCTTCACAAAGCTGCTGAGAGCAACCTTTAGGAAGGAACAAAGCTAAAAGAAGGCCCGGGGTTGACCTTGTTGCTATGGATGACGTCATGTTTCATCACTCAACCTCCTCTCAATGCCTACAGTGATTGGAGTTTGGCAGGTGACCAGTCTGTGTATTTATGTTACATTGGCTTATTCATTCTGATGGCCTTTACTTTTTCAAATAATATTTAGTTTTCCTTTGTTTAATAAAATTGTGACTGTTAAAAGGCCAGATAACATCCCCAGATTCAAGCACCTCCCCTCAGCTCACTCGTATTGCAAATCAATGCACTTGACAGCTGAGAATGAAAACCATCAACAGTGAGCTAGGGAGAAATCCAGGGATTTGTTGTTGTTATTGGTAATGAAAAAATAAGGGATTTTAATTTAAGGACAGTCAATATATACCACTGCAGGTGATTGTGATGGGAGCAGAGCAGAACGGCTTGCCGAAGGACTACCAGGAGAAGCTGAGAGCAATTAAGACCAACATGTATGAGGGTCCTCTGCCAGTGATGGCTGAACTAGAGCGAGCCAGAAGAAGAGCCAAAGAGAAGGCCAGCCACCACTCTGATGCCTGATAATCCAGCAGAATCCAGGTCCACTTTTATCTATAGGAAAGTCCTCGTAACACTGTATACAAGCTAATACTGTAGCTTAACAAGTTCCCCTTAGCCAACTAGCTAGCTGGCTAACCTTAATTCAAGCAGCCTGGTCTATGATTCTGAGTGACCACAGTCAACCACTGAGAGAATGCAGCATTGTGATCTAACTTGAGTTGCCTGTACTGATAAAAATAATAGCTGCATTTTGATAGTACAGAGGTGTGAGATCGACCAGAAATGTTGAGTGAAACTATATCACCATAAGGAGTAAAAATCCAGGTTATACTCCCATTTGTGATTTTATGTTTTTATGGTTGAGATATATTTCAATGCTTATTTCTTGCTCGTAACACCACTTACAATTACTCTACTGAGTCAGGCAAAATTTAAATATTATTTAAAGGGCTATACCAGTGTTTTTGAAAGTGTTCTGTTTAAGTGCAGAATGATTTGTAACTTCTGTTCCACAGTACCAATCTACCATAACAAAACTGACTAAAGTAATAGCAAATACCGTGAGTTAGGGTTAGGGTTAGACACTGTTTTCATACCTTAACAAAAATATGAAAATTGATGGCTTACTTCAAGGATAAAAATCAATGGCTATAATTTGTTGTGAAGGAAACATGCAAGACATTTGTTCTTTTAATGCTCTATAAAATGTTATATTTGTGAAGCTATTGTCACATAGCCAACTGTAACATTTTGAAATATACATTAAAGTGACTTTGTCATTTCCCTCAAAGGTATAATATGTAACATTTCTCCATTAAAATGTCTAAAAAACACTAGATCTATGTTGTGTACTTAAATTATCCCATATGTTTCTAAACCTTTAAAGCCAGAGAAATCTGGCATTTTGTTCAGGCAGTACTGTGTTTCACCTGTTGCCTGTCAAAGGTGTCATATCCTCTTTGTACATACGTCAGCGTTGTGTCTGTCTTCCAGAAGTTGTCATAAATGGATTTTGCTGATTGACATTTTTACCATACACTGTTTAGATCTTAGTGGTTTTTAACTCTATATTTGAATCTGATGAAGAGTTTTAGTCAGGGTTAGGAGTTAGGAGTTATTTATTTAATTCATTAATTTAATATTAATTTCACGTAAATCAGATCAAAATCACCACGCAGCGCTTACTTCATGTTGCCAATAGGTGGCGCTATCACTATATCAGAATATTGTCATGTAGACGTGTCAGGGTAGGACTCTTATCAAACGTGTGAAGTTTCGTTAAGATAGGACCATGTATGCTGAAGTTATGACGCACAGTCACAAATAGCAGGACTTTTAATCGTGATAGTGTTTACATCATACTGACTAAATTTGAAGTTGAGCTGATAAATTCCCTAAGAGATGTTTGTTAAAATATAACACCAAAAATCACCAGAAATGACCACAAAATACAGAATGGCCGACTTACCAATTTTCGTAAATGTCAGTCATACACGTCTTGGGGGCTGATTTAGAGGAGTGGGGTTTAGCCATTTGGCGGCGCCCGTTTCGTGAGCGCTCGAGCACTGAAAAGTGTTCAAAAATGCGATTAAAGGCGCAGAAAAATAATAATAATAATAAAACATGGTCGAAGCAGACGACCACCCACCTAGAGCCGAAGGATCTGTCCTAGGTTTCTGCCTTTTAACAGGCAGTTTTTCCTTGCCCTTGTCGCCAAGTGCTTGCTCATGGTGGTACCGTTGGGTCTCTGTAAATAATGTTATAAGGACTTCGGTCTAGACCTGCTCTATTTGAAAAGTGTCCTGAAATAACTTTTGTTATGAATTGGCGCTATACAAATAAAATTGAATTGAATTGAATTAATAATAATAATAATAATAATAATAATAATAATAATGGAGAATTCTTACAATTACAATAGGTCCTTGCACTTGTCAGTGCTCGGGCCCTAATAATACTTTTTTGTAATAATAATCTAACCCCAACCGGTCGAGGCAGACGGCCGCCCAGCTAGAGCCGGGGTCTACCTGAGGTTTCTTTAACTTTCATTGTTATATTAGCTTTCACTATTATGCAGATGATACCAAGCTATATCTATCGATCAAGACCGATGAAATTAATCAGTTATCTAAGTTACAAACATGTCTTAAGGACATTAAAACCCGGATGAGCTGCACTTTTCTGATGTTAAACTCAGAAAAAACGAAATTCTTGTACTTGGTCCCAAAAACCTCCGAGACTCACTGTCTAAAGATATAGTTACTCTAGATGTTATTACCTTTAATTCCTATATATAGCAGACCTCCAGGACTGCCTTCTTTCATCGACGTAATATTACAAAAATTAGACACATCCTGTCCAGACGGATGCAGAAAAACTAATCCATGCATTTGTTACTTCTAGGCTGGATTACTACAACTCCTTATTATCAGGCTGCCCCAATACATTCCAATTAATTCAGAACGCTGCAGCACGAGTACTGAAAAAAGATCAGGGCGGCTATGGCTCAGAGGCAGAGCGGGTCGTCCACTAATCGGAAGGTTGTTGGTTCGATCCCCGGCTCCTCCCGCCACATGTCAAAGTATACTTGAGCAAGATACTGAACCCCGAATTGCTCCCAATGCCGTGCATCATACATCGGTGTATGAATGAGTTAGTTTCTGTTCGATGGACTTTGCCATTGCTGAGTGAATGTGTGTGAAAGGTAGCGTAAAAGCGCTTTGAGTGGTCGGAAGACTAGAAAGGTGCTATACATGTACTGGTCGACTTACCATCCCTCCTGTACTAGCTCCACTGCAAAATCTAGAATAAAATTTAAAATCCTCCTCCTCACCTACAAAGCTCTTCATGGTCAGGCCCCTTCATATCTTAAAGAGCTCATAGTACCCTATTACCCCACTATAACACTACGTTCTCTGAATGCAGGGCTACTTGTGGTTCCTATAGTCTCAAAAAGTAGAACAGGAGCCAGAGCCTTCAGCTACCAAGCTCCTCTCCTGTGGAACCAGCTTCCAGTTGTGGTTCGGGAGGCAGACACCCTCTCCACATTTAAGAGTAGGCTTAAGACGTTCCTCTTTAATAAAGCTTATAGTTAGGCCTGGCTCAGGTGAGTCCTGAACCATCCCTTAGTTATGCTGCTCTAGGCCAAGACTATCAGGGAATTTCCCATGATGCACTGAGCTCCTCTCTTCCTCTTTCTCTCTCGTTCTACACACATTCATGTCCCATTAATGCATGTTACTAACTTCAGTTCTTCCCCAGAGTTCTTGTGCTTTCTCGTCTTTTTCATCGAGCCTCCCTGCCATGGTCCTTCTTGACTCCCATTGCTCATATTATTGATATTATTAGGGACCAAGCCAGCGACCGCTGGGAGGCCCTATTGTATCTTTAGGAATCATTATTATTAGGGACCGAGCCAGCGACCGCTGGGAAGCCCTATTGTATCACTAGGAATAATTATTATTATTCGCTCCGTCTTCGACTGCATATTTGGCGGCCACAACATGCTCGAAAAGTCAGGAAAATTTGCACAAAATTCAATCGTTCGAGAACTCGACGTATGCAACTGAAAAATTTTAAAATGGGTCGCCAAAACAGTTTGGAGTATATGGCCTTTTTGGAGTCTGGGTGGCACAGACTTGAGGGCAGGAGAGTCAACCTATTTCATCTGAATCCAAGGAGTGGGTTTTTATTGGATTTCTGTGCTAAACACGAATTGTCTGTAACTAACTTGTTTTTGAGCATGTGGTGGGTAATTGTGTGATTTGGTTTTCAGTTGTCAAAGTTTCTGTAACTCACACTCTTTTTGACTGTGGGGTTGTTAACCCCACGCCCAACCCCCAACCTGGAGAACCAGGTACTGCCTCGTCTGCCTCCTCACCCTTGACCTGGTAATGGTAATTGGTTGAACTTGCCAGGGGGATTAAATTCCATAACTGTTAGCCAAACCAGTGAAAACATAATTTCAAACATTACCAGTGGTAGTGATTTTGCATTTGGAGCTCTTACAAAGTTAGCCCACATTTTTGTGAAGGGCATGGGGGCAACATTTTTAACCTTCAAATTGTCGTTCCATGGTCATGGACGAGCTGGAGATGACCAACTAATAGATCAAGGGAATTGCATCAACATCAGCATGGTGGCTCAGTGGTTAGCACTGTCACCTTACAGCAACAATGTCCTGAGGCCATGTTTTCCCCTTGTTTGCGTGGGTCTTGTGTTACTTTAATTATCTGGTCAGTGCCCTTGACCAAGGCAATGATTTAGAACTGGAGTTGGTCCCCAAGCTCTGCACAGTTGCTGCCCACTGTCCTACCACATCTTGTTGCTATATGATGCCTATTCACTTGAAAAGTGAAGATGTTCCTCATTATTTTGGCATCTGGCCAGCTGCAGCTTTCCCTCTCTTCAGGGATGAGTGTCTGATGAGGCCACTATACTGCAAAGAAGCTGTTCTGGGTTATGGAAACAGGACACAGTATTGGCCTCCTTGAGAGTCGGGCCTTGTAAAATTCCATGTCTGTTGACAAAACATGAGAGAGCCCCGCTCTGCCAGCCAGGCTACTCTACAGCATCCCTCTCCAGACATGCTCTCTTCACTTCATACAATTAGTTTTTTCCAGGGCTCTTAACCACCCAAGCAGAGCTGTGACAAAATCCCAAATAAACTATGTATCTAGGACAGAAACTTGTCCTGTCTGTGGGGAACAAGGGAAAACAGATTCTTCTCTGCTCTGCAGCTGCAGCTCGTGTTCATCACATGGCATCCAGCAGTGCAGAGCAGAATGCTAAACACTGGACACCCCTATCAGGTTCCTGCCACATAGACCAAGACCTACAGTCAAATTCTCATTTAAGTTTAGAAGTGCCATATCTGCCATTTGATTTTAATCATTTCAAAAGTAGCCATGAGAGCCAGCCAAACTCCACAGAAGAGATGTCGATGTTTCCTTTTCAATGCTCTCAAGATATACTTACATTTAAAGCAACATTATCTAACTTTTCTACCGAAAAATAACAGCTTCAAAATCATTTTAATGCAACACTGAGTTGTAATAGGGTGAATGGTGCCTCTGTCATTCCCACTCTGTGCCCCATATGCCCATGTCAGAACAAGTGCATTATGCTTTAGGGCACTAAGTCACACACCACCAGCTATGTCAGTGATTTTGGTGAAACTGGATCAATTCTCTGGAAGTTTCCTGATGGACAATAAAGTAACTGCTGCCAAATGTAGCTGCTATTAGCTAGTTAGCTTAGCTTAGTCCACGTTTGATGCCATGCCGCGAACAAGCCCATCAACGACAACTCACCACATTCATCACATATCATCAGTAGGGGGCGCTATGAGTATGACTAAATATTATCATGTAGACGTGTTCAGGGCGGGACAAATGTGTGAAGTTTAGTTGAGACTAGACCAGGGGTGGGCAAACTTTTTTACTTGTGGGCCACACTGAGTTCTAAAATTTGACAGGGGGGCCAGACGAGGGGCAGATGGATGGAGTGTTTATGTGAACTAATGTATATGACATGTACAAGCCATTATATAAAATGATTGGCCTTTAAGAGCAAAGCATGAATATGCAAGGCTCATTTACAAATTATTTTACAAATGCATGTATTCATAACTACGGAGCCCCTAAAGGGACATGGAAAAAAAATAAAAAAATGAAACGTTTCTAGTGCGCACTAGGGATCTAGTGCGCACAAGATAGTATCTAGTGCTCACAAGATAGTATCTAGTGCGCACTAGAAACGTTTCATTTTTTTTTGGTTTCCCCATGTCCCTTTGTTTG